AAATTAAAAAATAAAGAGAAATTGAAAATCGCAAATTAAAGAACCGAAAAATCGAAAAAGTGAAAAATCGAACTGAAAAGATCGAATAATTGGAAAATGAATAATTGGAGAAACTAAAAAACTGAAAAATTGAAAACTTAAAAATCGGAAAAATTTAAATATCGAAAATCGTAAAATCGAAAAATAGCGATATTGAAAAATTGCAAATCGGAAAAATCGAGAAGTCGAAATATTGGAAAGTCGAATATTTAAAAATTGTTAAATCGAGATATCGAAAAATTGAAGAAACGAAAATTAAAAAAATATTTATTGAAGAATTCAAAAGCTGAAATCGTAAGAATGAAAAATTTATAACTGAAAAATCGAAAAATTGAAAACTGAAAAACTGAAGAAGCGAAAAATTAAAAAAAAAGTAAAAACTGAAAAACCAAAAAATACAGAAACTGAAAAATCGGAAAGTAATTGTATAAAATTGACAACAAACGAAAAATTGAAAGATCGAAAAATTGAAAAATCGAAAAATAGAGATATGGAAAAATTGAAAAATCAAAAAACTGCAAATCGGAAAATCGAGAAATCTAAATATTGAAAAATCGAAAATATTTAAGGATCAAAAAATTGTTAGATCGGAAAATTAAAAGATGAAAAAATTGTAAAATTTATAACTGCAAACTGGAAAAATTCCAAACTGAAAAATCGAAGAAGCGAAAAATTAAGAGATCAAAAAATCAAAAAACTGAAAAATCAAAAAAAGCAAAAAGTCAAATCAAAAGATACAAAAACTGAAAAATCGGAAACTAATTGTAAAACTGATTAACAACAAACGAAAAATTTAGCAATCTAGAGATTAAAAATCAAGAAACTGAAAAAGTGCAGATAGAAAATCGAGAATTCGAAAAATTAAAAAATCAAAAAATCAAAAAATTGGGAAACTGAGAAACCAAAAAATTGAAAAATCGAAAAATGGAGATATCGAAATGAGAAAATTGAAAAAACTCGAAAAACGGCAAACTGAAAAATTGAAGAAGCGAAAAATTAAGAAATCGAAAAATCGAAAAACTGAAAAATCAAAATAAGCAAAAACTGAAAAATTAAAAAATACAGAAACTGAAAAATCGGAAAGCATAATTGTAAAATTGATTAACAATCGAAAAATTTAAAAATTTAGAAATTAAAAATCAAGATACTGAAAAAGTCCAATTGAACAATCGAGAGTTCGAAAAATTTTAAAATTAAAAAATTGAAAAATCAAAAAATTAAAAGATCAAAAAACTGCAGAACAAAAAATCGAAAAATTGAAAGATCGAATAAATAGAAAATGAATAATTGGGGAAACGAAAATTATATTTCGAGAAATTGAGAAACCAAAAAATTGAAAAATCGAAAAAGTTTAAATATCGAAAAATTGAAGAAACGAGAAATAATGGAAATACATAAATCAAGCAATAGAGATATCGAAAAATTTCAAATCGGAAAATCGAAATATTGAAAAGTCGAAAATATTTAAAGATCGAAAAATTGTTAAATCGAGAAGTAGAGATATCGAAAAATCGGGAATTTGAAAAATTGCAAAATCAAAAATTTAACAGATCGAAAAACTGAGAGCTCGAATAAATGAAAAATTGTAAAGTCGCAAAATTGAAGAAACGAAAAATTAAAAAAAAACATTTATTGAAGAATTCAAAAGGTGAAATCGTACAAATGAAAAATTAATAACTGAAAACTCGAAAAATTGCAAATTGAAAAATTCAAGAAGCGAAAAATTAAGAAATCGAAAAACCGAAAAGTCAAAAAAAATAAAAACTGAAAAATCAAAAAACACAGAAACTGAAAAATCTAGAAATTAAAAATCAAGAAACTGAAAAAGTGCAGATCGAAATATTGAGAATTCGAAAAATTGAAGAAACAGAAAATTTAAAATAACATTTATTGAGGATTTCAGAAGTTGGAATTGTACAAATGAAAATTTTATAACTGTAAACTCGAAAAATTGCAAACTGAAAAACTGAAGAAGCAAAAAATCAAGATATCGAAAAATGAAAAAAAAAAAACTGAAAAATTAAAAAATATAGAAACTTAAAAATCGGAAAATAATTGTAAAATTGATTAAGAATAAAAGAAAAATTTAAAAATCTAGAAATTAAAAATTAAGAAACTGAAAAAGTGCAGATCAAAAAAACGAAAAATTGAAAGATCGAGTAAATGGAAAATAAATAATTAGAGAAACGAAAATTAAAAATCAAGAAACTAAGAAGCCAAAAAATTGTAAAATCGAAAGATAGAAATATCGAAAAATTGAAAAATCAAAAATATTTTTTTTTTTTTTGGAAAAATTGAAGAAACGAAAAATTGAAACAATATTTACTGAAGAATTCATAAATTGAAATCATACAAATAAAAAATTAATAACTGAAAACTCGAAAAATTGAAGAAGCGAAAAATTAAGAAATTGAAAATAAAAAAAAATTAAAACTGAAAAATCTTAAAAGATCGAATAAATGCGAATTGAAAAATTAGAGAAACGAAAAATTGTAAACCCGAAAAAATTAAAAATAGAAACATTGAAGGATTGAATAATTGGAGAAATGAAGATTAAAAATCAAGATACTGAGAAACCAAAAAATTGTAAAATCGAAAAATATACATATTGAAAAATCGAAAATATTTAAAGATTAAAAAATTGTTAAGTCAAATCCGAAAAATTGTAAAGTCGCAAAATTGAAGAAACGAAAAATTAATAACTGAAAACTCGGAAAATTGCAAACTGAAAAATTCAAGAAGCGAAAAATTAAGAAATCTAAAAACTGAAAAATCTAGTAATTAAAAATCAAGAAACTGAAAAAGCGCAGATCGAAATATTGAAAGATCGAATAAATGGAAAAGAATAATTGGAGAAACGAAAATTAAAAATCTAGAAACTGAGAAACCAAAAAATTGAAAAATCGAAAAAATTAAATGTCAAAAAATTGAAAAATCAAAAAATTACACATCGGAAAATCGAGAAATCGAATTATTGAAAAGTCGAAAATATTTAAAGAATGAAAAACTGTTGAATCGAAAAATAGAGATATCGAAAAATTGAAAAACAGGAAAATTAAAAAATCGAAAAATTGTAAAATCGCAAAGTTGAAGAAACGGAAAATTTATTGAACACTTCAGAAGTTGGAATCGTAGAAATGAAAATTTTATAACTGTAAACTCAAAAAATTACAAACTGAAAAATTAAAAAACGCCAAAACTATAAAATCAAAGAATACAGAAACTGAAAAATCAAAAAACTGAAAAATCGGATAAAGACGGAAAATGAGTAATTGGAGAAACGAAAATTAAAAATCGAGAAAGCAAAAAATTGAAAAATCAAAAATATTTAAATATAAAAAAAATCGTTAAATCCGAAAATTAAAAATGTAAAAAATATTTATTCAAGAATTCAAAAATTGAAATCAAACGAATGGAAAATTTATAACTGAAAATTCAAAAAATTGTAAACAGTAAAATTGAAGAAGCGGAAAATTAAGAAATCGAAAATGAATAATTGGAGAAACGGAACACGAAAAATCGGGAAACTGAGAAACCAAAAAATTGGAAATTCGAAAAAATTTAAATGTCGAAAAAAATAGAGTTATCGAAAAATAAAAGAAACGAAAAATAAAAAAAAAAACATTTATTGAAGAATTCAAAATTTGAAATCGTACAAATAAAAAATTTATAACTGAAAACTCAAAAAATTGTAAACTGAGAAATTGAAGAAGCGAAAAATTAAGAAATTAAAAAATCAAAAAAAGCAAAAACCGAAAAATCAAAAAAACACAGAAACTGAAAAATCAGAAAGTATTTGTAAAATTGATTCAGATCCAGAAATTAAAAATCAAGAAACTGAAAAAGTGCACATCGAAAAAAAATCGAAAATTTAAAAATTTAAAAATTAAAAAATCAAAAAATTATAAGATAGAAGAATGAATAATTTGGGAAACAAAATAAAAAATCGAAAAACTGAGAAACCAAAAAATTGAGAAATCAAAACTTAAAAATCGAAAAATCGTAAAATCGACAAATCGAAATATTGAAAAATCGAAAATATGTATAGATAAAAAAATTGGAAAATTGGAAAATTAAAAAATGGAAAAATTGTAAAATTCCAAAATTGAAGAAACGAAAAATTGAAAAGATTTTTATGGAAGAATTAAAAAATTGAAATCGAACGAATGGAAAATTTGTAACGGAAAAGTCGAAAAATTACAAATGGAAAAATTGAAGAAGCGAAAAATTAAGAAATCGAAAAACTGAAAAAAGGCAAAAACTGAAAAACCAAAAATACAGAAACTGAAAAATTGGAAAGTAATTGTAAAATCGATTAACAGCACTAGATATATAGAATCTGAAGCTCAAGTGTTTATGTTTAGACATCGAAAAAATCAGAAGGTTAAAAAAATCCGAATAATCCAAAAAATCCAACAAAAGACGAAAAACTCCAGAAAATCCAGAAAAAAAAAATAAAAATTAAAAAAAAAATCGAATGAATCTAAAAAGTCAAACAAAAACCAATGAAATCCAAAAAATCTCGAAAACCCACAAAAACTGGAAAATCCATAAAATCTCGAAAATCCAGAAAATCTGGAAAATTTGCAAATTCCAGAAAATCAAAAAAAAACTGGAAAATTCACAAAATCCAGAAGATTAAAAAAATCCAAATACATAATCCAAAAAAATCCAACAAACGACTCCAGAAAAATTGAAAAACATAAAATTTGGAAAACCGAAAAAATTGAAGGGTTGAATAAAAAAAATTAATAATTGGGGAAACGAAAATTAAAAATCGAAAATATTTAAAAATCAAAAAATTGGTTCAAGATTACTTAGATAGAACTTCCATATTATTATTCAGCACTAAGTAATAGCAATCTGAAGCTCAAGTGTTTATTTATGTTTATACATCGAAAGAATGTCACGTAGAAATTAGTGTCTTAAACTTAAAATGACCTAAACCCAAAAGTACGTACTTTGGTTAACAGGAACGCTAAAATGCTCATTTCAGGTGGCACGAACTGTTCCCTATACGTCGGCTTATCCTCCTTCATTTGCGACGGCTGATGTCCTAGTAACTTCGTGTTCAGTTTCACTCTTTGCTTATTCAACCAATTGGTAGGTCCCGAAATCTCTTCAGTCGGTGTACCTTGAGCACTTTGAGTTCCCTGGTTTTGAGAACTGGCTTGATTTCCGGTAATGCTGGCAGTTCTGAGCAATTTCTTGATTCCGCCACCAAACAAGCTACAAGTTTGACATTAATACAACCCTCTGTAGATAGCATTGTACTCACCGTCCCCATACATCCGTGTTGAAAACATGCCCCGTAACGTGGAAAAGTATCACGCAATCGCAAGTACTGAGTCCATACAGCACCAGCGCCAGATACGTAGCCGTAAACGCCTCACACAACACAACCGTAAGTCGCGGAGTGTCTTCGTCTTTTTCGCGCGCTAACAAAGCCCGGAGACTCGTAACTCCAGGCCACTTAGGCGGAAAAGTGATAATTTGTTGGCCATCGTTAATGGACATGCGTCTGCGTCTGCCAACTAGATGCGTCGAACAAAGATCTTGGGTTTCGGGTAAGTTACTCTTGAAGGTGTCGGAGTCGCACAGTGATTGGTAGATGCAAGCTGAAAGCGCTATTGCCAAGTCTCTCAACACTAGAAGTTGGTTTTGCGAAGTGTTAGGTTTTGGCAACTCCACCATCTAGAATTGAGGTTAGAACGAACGGTGATTGTTTGATGGGGTTGTTGAACTTACGGTTTGGAGCATGTCGTGGATTAAACACTGGAGGTATCTGATGGGGTCTGCGATCACGGTTTTACTACTAGCGACACTAGCGGCTAGAAGAGGTAAGCTTGTGGGGAAAGGTAGAGGACTTAGAAGTTGTTGATGGGTTTTTTCTTGTTGGAGTTCTTGTAACAAAAGGACTAGTTCCATTCGGACTGAGGCTAGACCGCCGGTGGCTCCGTGCAAGGAACAGTAGCTGAGTAGAGTGCGCAGAAGGATTTCATTGGCTACAACAACAACATGAGGTTGATTGATGACTAGAAAGTGTGGTTGATCACCTCTAAGCCAACGCTTTCTTTTAGCAGCCCTTTGTACTTTGGCTTCAAAGTCCAGTTTCTCCTGGACTAGAATTTCGTGAAGGGTGGGTCTAGTACCGGCTTCACAGGCTGCATTTTCCATTTCGGGTGCTGCTTCTAGTTCTAGCGGCTCGACAATATCAGTGGTAGCGTAATTACATAGTTGTCGTAACGCTTCTACTTCTTTTTCCAACCAAATGTACAGTTGGTACCGTAATTGGCCACCTGAAATAAATTCAAAGTGACAAAGTTACATTTCTTGATTGTCTTACCGTCCACTTCGAATCCAGTCGCCAATGTGCTCAACTCCTCCATGAGAATTTTCAAACAAGCGACAAACTTCAACTGTTGGGCCATAATATCAATGTGTTGACCCGGAGGTTCTTCAACCTCTTCATCTTCGTCTTTACTGTCGCACTTCATCTTTATTCCTTCGTCGGACTCTTCCGACTCTTTATCGTCTTCATCGTCGCTCCACTTCAACTCTAAATCGTCTGTTTTCGTCTTAAAATCGGTAGTGGTGGTACCCCAATCAAAATCACCGGCTGATTGCCCCACGTCCGGTTTGCTATCCCAGGAGATCATCCCGGTATTAATCTCGGACTTTTCGTTCTGTCTTGGTGATACCACTACAACAAAATTTACTAACCTAGAACACCATAGTGTAACTAGGTACTTACAAGGTGTCGCTTGTTTATTATCCGCAACGATATAAGGTAGTTTGGACAAGACCTCCAAAGCCAGGGCTGGACACCCGGCTCGAAAATGACCATGAGCCGTCGCAAAATACAGCTGTCTCTCTAAAGGAGTGATGGACTCCTCCACCACCACTTGTTTCCCTCCTGGAAGCCACACCTTCCGGTGTCCCGAACTCGCCATATGCTGTCTCACCAGCAGCGGATGGGTCCTCAAATACACATAAAAGTTAAAAACGTTAGGGTCGGCCTCTTTAGTCTCCCTTGCTTCGTCCTCATGAGCCGAGTGCTGAGTCCCGGCATTCCCGATCAACAACGTACTCAAAGCAGCCTGGTGTTCCTTCAGAGACCAAAAGGCCATCGAGCGCAAAAAGGGATCAGGGTGCGCCTTCGTAATATCTTGGTTCGACCCTTAAAAAACCAAAAGTGATACCAACTCCCCTTAACCAACCCCATACCATTGTTTAAGTATATTATAGTTGGACAACCTATACGGACAATCACTTTCCCATGTAGAAAAGAATGAATATATATTTTACATCTCACTCGCTTCACTATGAAGTGGCGGTACCTTACGAAAGGAGGTAAAAATAGTCCGTAAGCACGTGATGTCGATAAGGTAGTAAACGGACCAATTTAATCAGTACGTTGTACGGGGAGCAGTCACAAAATAAGCAAACGTACGTGTTGAAGACTTTACTGTAATATATGTATATGTAGTGCATACCTGTTTCAAGGTTAAGGTAACAAAAATTTAATATTATCGCGGTATACCTATTATCCATGAACTGCATGGCTAACAAATATGCGTCCCTTCGTCCACTTTAAAGGTATACGAAATTAAACGACCACTACTTTAATTAATAAGTCATCTAATTTGCCTCCAGAATAACTATGGGTTATCATCAAACTATGAACACCAAATTAATTCAATATGAACATCTTCTTACGTATTTTTTTTATTAACAGTAGTCAAATCATTAAATACATATTATTTTTGAAACTAAAATGCATTTTATCCTAAGATTGTATCACAAAATATTCATCACCATTTAAATATATACGATTTAGACATCAAGAAATAAATTTAAAATTGCAAAAATTATATCTAGCAGACTTAAAACAGCCTTAAATGTGTCTTGTATGTAAGTGCTTATCAGTATGTAGGCATTTTAACGCACAGCAATAATCGTTCTTGATGAGTAATAACTAATGACTACTGTAACACAGTAAATCCTCGAAATCGAAAATTTAAAACACTGAAAAATTCAAATATGGGAAAATTGTAAAATCGAGAAATCGAAACATAAAAAAATCAAAAAAATTAAAATTGGAAAACCTAAAATTTAAAAATCGAGAAATTGAACAATCGGTTAATTCAAAAATCGAAACATCGAAAAATTGGAAAATCGAAAAATAAAAAAAAATTGGACAATCGAAAATTTAAAAATTCCGAAAATTGAAAAATTAAAATATAGAGAACTGAAAACTCAAAAAATCGAAAAAAATTAATAATTTCAAAAATTGAAAAGTTAAAATTGAGAAATCGAAAAACTGAAAAATCACAAAATTGAACGAAATATCAAAAAATTAGGAAATAAAAAAATTGAGAAACAAAAAAGTCAAAAAAGCAGAGTCTAAAAATCGCAAATTTAAAAAATGGAAAAATTGAAAAATCAAAAACCTGAATAATCGAAAAATTGAAGAACTGAAGAATTGAAAAATCGAAACTTTAGGAAGTGGAGAAATGGGAATATAAAAAAATAGATTAATTGAGAAATCAGAAAACTAAAAATTCAGAAACGTCAAAATTTGAAAAATAAAAAAATATTGAAGAACTAAAAACTCGAAAAATCTAAAATTTAAAACATTGAAAAGTTAAAATATCCTAAAACTGAAAAATGGAGAAATCCAAACATCAAAAAATCAAAAATAAAAATAAAAATCTAAAATTTAATAATCGAAAAACTGAAAAATCAACGAATCGAGAAGTCGAGAATTTAAAAAATTGGACAATTGAAAAATCGGATAAATCAAAAATCGAAACATCGAAAAATCGAGAAACCGAAAAGCAAAAAATCGAAAAACCAACAAATCGAAAAATCGAAACATTGTAAAATTCAAAAATTGAGACATCGAGAAATCGAAAAATCAAAAGACAAAAAAAATCGAGGAGTCGAAAAATCGAGAAGTGGAAAAATCAAAAAATTGAGAAACCGAAGTAGGCCAAAATCGAAAAATCGAAAACTTAAATATGGAAAAATTGATAAAACGAGAGATTGAATAATCAAAACATCGAAACATCCGAATCTCCATGAATTGAGATCTCAAAAAATTTAAACATTCGTAAATTTAAAAAATTAAAATATAGAACTGGAAACTCGAGAAACTGAAAAATCTAGAAATTTAAAAATTAAAATATGAAAAAGTTGAAAAATTGAGAAATTGAAATAAAAAACAAAAAACTGAAAATCCAAAAATAAAAAATAGAAAAATCTAGAAGTCGAAAAATGAAAGAATCGAAGTATTGAAAAATATCAAAACTGAAAGAAATATCCAAAAATTGAGAAATCGACAAACCAATAAAGCGAAGTCGAAAAATCGAAGAATTGAAGAACTGAAAAATCGAAACTTTGAGAAGTGGGAAAATCAAAAATAGATTAATTGAGAAATCAGAAAACTGAAAATTTAACGCAAAAATTTGAAAAATTCAAAAATTTAAATACTGAAGAACTGAAAAGTCAACAAATCGAGAAATCGAAAAAACTAAAATTTAAAACAATGAATAATTAAAATATCGCAAAATTGAAGAATCGAGAGATCCAATTCAATTTGAAAAATTGAAAAATCGGGGCATTGAAAAATTGGAAAATCCAGAAATTGAAAAGCTCAAAAGAAAAAAATCGAAAAACCGAGAAATCCAAAAATCGAAACATCGAAAAATTCAAAAACTGAGACTTCGAGAAATCGAAAAATCGGAGGATCGAGAAATTGCGGAGTCGGAAGCCGAAAAGGAAAGTTAAAAATTGAAAAACTGAGAAATTGAACAATCAAAACAACGAAACATCTGAATTCGATAAATTGAGAAATTAAAAAATTGAATAATCGAAAAATTTTAAAAATGAAAAACTGGAAAATCAAAAATTAAAATTCAAAAAATCGAAAAATTGAAAAACTGAAATATAGAAGAACTGAAAACTCGAGATATCGAAAAACCTAGAATTTTAAAAAATGAAATATTAAAACATCGAAAAGTTTAAAAATTGAGAAATCGAAGCATTAAACAGTCCCAGAATTGAAAAATCTAAAGTTTACAATAAATTGAAAATCCAAAAAGGAAAAAAGCGAGAAATCAAAAAAAATCCATCAATTCAAAAATCGAAAAGTCAAAAAATTGAAATATTGAAAAATCTCATAACTGAAAGAAATATTCAAAAAATTGAGAAATTAAAAAATTGGAAAACTGAGAAATCGAAAATCTAAAAAAGCAAAATTGAAAAATCGTAATCTTAAAAAATCGAAAAATTGAGGAATTGAAGATGTGAAAAATCGAAACTTTAGGAAATCCAGAAATGGACAAATAAAAAAAATACTTTAGAAATCGGCAAACTGAAAATTTAGAAACGTGAAAATTTGAAAAATTGAAAAATCGAAATATTTAAAAACCGTAAAATTGAAGAGGACAAAAATTGAGAAATCGTATCATTGAAACATCGTAAGATTGAGAAATCGAAAAATAAAAAAATCGAGAAATAGAAAATTTAAGGAATGGAGGAAACGGAAAAGCCCAAAATTGAAATATTGAAAAATTGAGACATTTAAAGTTGAAAAATCGAGAAATCGACAAGCCGAAAAATCCCAATAGCGTATTTAGGTATAAATCACAAGATCAGGACTATTCTACTTTTTAAAATTTAAATACATAACATTATAAATTGGAAAATTGGCTTAAAGTCGATATTGGCCTGAGTGTGCTTTGGTCTGTAGATCAAACAAGTTCTCAGGCGACGAAAAATTGCATGTGGAGGGAGACTTCGGATTACAAATCGTGCCAAGAAAGACATATTTGGGAGAGATGGATTTTCAGGTGCTTGACTAGCGGGATTTTAAATTGTTTACTGTCGTTCGCTAAGTGAAGAACACAATTTCATTAAAATGATAATTATAAAATTATCATAATCACTATTGGTGTTAATTAACACAAAATGGCGCGCAAGTTATCAGTTGATTTCGTTAATAAATTCATAGAAACCTATATGGGATTTTTTCATGCCTTAGAAAATTAAAAAGTAAAAAATACAATAACAAAAATTTTAAAATGCGGTTTACGAAAAATTAGTTGACCTGTGCAAAGAAGAAAATTTTGGAAACGCTGACAAATATGACATCTTAAAAAAAATAACACTTGAAGAAGTGCCTTCGGCGTAGTATTTTTGATGCTGGCGAACAAAATACTCTGTGTGCAAAAAGTTTTAACTGTGCAGATCTAGCCGAAAATCCGAAAACCAAATCGCTGTGTGTAGGGCCAGCATAACGGAAGTAATAAATCATCCCATCGGTTGAAGAACGTTGGGTCGGTGCACTGATGTCGGTGTTATATCCCGAGAGGGGCCCAATACACCCAATAAAATGGAACAGATAAAATAAAGCTTCAAACATGATTATTTTTATACTAAAATTCTGAAGTTTATAAACTGCACATTTTATTTATTTATTTATTTATTTATTTTATCTTGTCTTCGAACTATAATAAACATTTCAAACAATGTCTGTAACTTATTTTAATGTAAATTATATTCATGTGGTTAACAAAATCAGATGTAATATTAGTGTGATTTTGACCTTATTCTAGATTTTATTACAGCAGAACGGCGTATCCTTTTTAAATTTTAGAAGTTACGGAAACTAGTTCAAGAAACAATTAGTTATCTCGTATTTTTGGAACAAAATTTACCAAAATGTCCGATAACAGCAATTGTTTTTCAAAGAAACAAACAGTCTTCAAAGCAGCCTTTAACAACTAGATATTACAAACATGCCTCTTAAGTTCTTAATGCGTTTTTTTCTCTCTTGTAATTATTTGTAATGTTAACGCCGAAAGTTTATGTCATTCTGTTATTTACTTTGAACATATATTTTCATTTTGTGTTAATATTTTTGTAACACCACGAATCTAAATTTTACTTAAAATCTTGTTTTACTTTAATCTTGTAAAACTAAACAATTATACCAGTTTAAAAACCCTTGGAAAGTTTCTGTCAGTCTTCAGATATAGTCAAATAAAAATATGCGTCAAATTCATTTAAATTCAATTCTTTCTTATCACGTTACAACGCGTTGCTTCATATTTTTTATGTCAAGTATATTTTCATATTTTGTACATATATGTTTATACACATTACTGTTTACGGAACAATGTTAATTATGGATTTATGGATAACTCCTCGTATAAGAGCAGAGTGAAGGGTGTTTGCCTTTGCTAATGTTTGATGGCGCCATCTGATTTAGAGTAAAATAAACCTAAAACGTTCGCTCACTGTAGTGAAAATGCGCGTTGACGAAAAATTTGTCCCACGCCCCCTGGATTCCTTGTCCTAAAGCTCACTATTTAGGCGAAGTAAAATTTGTATTAGGTTGTCCAACTATAATATACTTAAACAATGCCCATACCATCTGCATCGCAACCTAGAATCTCCTGGTACAACAACTTCTTAAAACTATCGCCGTCCCCTTCGTACAACCGCACGATAATGATAGCCAATTGCAAGTCTTGTAGCTTCTGCAGACACACCTCAGTTGCGTCCTTCAAATTACCGGCCAATAGGAAAAAGGCGGCGGCGTGGTCAAACCGCTGCTTGCCCAATAAAGCGTACGCGTTTTTAAGCGCAGCTTTGCGCCACCGGTCTTCCGAGAAATTATTGGCGAAGAATTGGGTCATCTTTTGGTCGCGCTTCGACCTGAAACGAAGTTACAATCACGCGATTCAAATGGTCACACTAACCTATAAAGCCCCCAAAGCAGACTTTTCTTGTTCATGGCTAAATAATACAAGGCGGCGTCCATTGGGTCTTGCTTGACTTGGTAGGCGGCTTTGGCTAGGACTTGGACCGCCTGCTTCAACATGCCGAGGTTGCGAATCCACCAGCCTACACCTAGTTCACGAAGGTGGGGCCAGGTGGGTTCGCCTTTTGCATAGCTCGGAATCAAGTTGAGCAGTTCTTCCTGGCTTTCGGAATGGTAGGCCCAGGCTAGATTATTGGTACCTACGCCTTGTTTCTGGAAATGGGTTCGTTGGGCTAGCGGGAGGCACCGTAGAAGGTAACCGTAGTGCTTCATTGCGAGTAAGAATCGGAGTCCGCAGTCGTCGAGACTGTCGGTGATGACTTCGTCCGACTGTCCGACTAAGTTTTCTTTAGCCATAGCCGACTTGGCTGAATCTATGGCGAACCTTTCCGCTAAATCGGTATTACAGGTGGACACTGTGTCCGCTAAAGCTAGTAAGTGCATTTGGTCTAGACTTGACAACCCTGGTAGGTGCATATGGGTTAAAAGCCGCGATAGAACTCGACCTTGCTTGGGAGTGAAGTGTGTAATTCCAACATTACGCTCCGATTGTCGTCGATCCATTCTGGAGATCTCCTTGTCTTCCAGAAGTGTGTCAAGCGATTCTTCCATCACCACACTATTGTCGAACAGCTCGTTGTAATCTTTCTCTTCTTCTTGTTGCACGAACTGTTCTTTATCGGCTGCCAGGAGCGTCCAGAGTGGCAAAGGAGGAATATTGTTGATTTCGTCATAGTCCAAGGCGATTTCCCCAATACTCGCTCTGTGTTCAGGACTGCCCGCTGGGTAACTCACCGACAGAGTCCTAGCTCTTGCCCACCCTTGCATGTCTTCGGGTGTCTCTTGATTACCCCCAATACACTTAACCAAATGGGCTAAAATCGCCTTCACCCAACGAATCTTCCCAGAATTGAGCAACTCCATTAGTTGCTTCGGGTGGTATTGGGGTAACACAGGACACGCGATTCGTGACGCCTCGAACAACCCATAGTCCGGCATGTAGTCAATATTGGAGTCTTTGTTAGCCCGTTTTCGATCCAATATCTGCAAATTAACACTACTAATCCTTCCAAGAGTCGGAATGGCCGCTAGTTTCCTTTGGTTCTCTTGAGTGAGAGTCCGGAAATCTACATCCCGTAGCGTCTTACCATCCGGCTCACTTATTTCCATAGCGGTAGTAGTTTGGTTTTGGGGTCTCCATTGTGTGTACACGTGCATTTCCGAATCCATCCCGACCACTAAAATACCATCGCGGACCCAACTAATCTGCATTGGGAGAGCTGGCAGCCCATCAGCCGTTTGTAACTCGATTTTGCGCAACGTCATCCATTTAAAATCGTCGACGAAGAGCGGCTGCGCCAACGAACTCGCCTTACGCAGAATAGGTCTGTAATTATTAACCGACTCTTTCATAGCTTTGACGTTAGCTTGCGCCAAATCCGTCGACAAAGGGGTATACAGCATGATTTTGCTCCCGCAAGCTACGGTAAGTATGTGTGAACCATCCTCATTCGACACCCAATCCAACTGAACCAAGTGTTTCTGCGTCAGTGGACATATATTCCCCATCTCTGAGATCGACTTGCGCAGTGACTGCAAGGTCGTGAAACTCGGAACTGCCAATAAAGTCGGCTTAATGTGCGACTCGGCACTCAATGTCTGTCTATCGTCGTTCGAAAAGGTGTGCAACACTTCGTTTATTCTTTGTTTCTTCTTCAAAGTGCGCGAATCGTACAAGTAACTAAGATCCAAGTGTCTGTCGATGTTTATTCTTGGTAGGTGGATGTTTTTCAGGTGGATGATGTCCTCGAGGAGCCACTCGGTCCCGCCTGTCGACTCGCACTCGTATATCGCTACGCATAAGTTGATGAAGCGCGAATCCGGGTCGTTTTTGTTGGGGCGGGTGAAGCTCTTGCCGTACTTGTAGGCGCAAGCTAAGCGACCGGAGTAGGCGACGCTGATGTTGAGGACTTGGCCCTCGATCTCGATTGCGGACTCCTTCAGCATGTTCCACTCGGTCCACATCTTTAACAATGAGGGAAAATTGGGTACAGCGGTCTAAAATTGGGTCCGCTAACCTCAAAAGGTTGCAAGGTTGGCTAAACTGAAAGAACTGTCTTGTGGCGTCACAAAACGAAACGCTAACACGTTGCGCAAATTTGTTTTATTGTTTGTAAATGCACAGTTCATGTTCGGAGTTTAATCGTTAACTGGTTCTAACACAATTTAACAGTCAGGCACTTGTTAGGAGATTTCATGAAATTCACTTAGTCAAGACATATTATTTGTTTATCTAATTATGAATAATGTTTCTGGATGAGTGTTACAACACTTCTTAATTCCTTACACAAGATTGCTAACAGTTCATTTACGGCAATTCAATTACATCATCGAGGAGCTTGGCAAACAGTAGCAACGCCCACCCACCCCCTCTTGATTCCAGTGACTACTCTTAATATTATTCAATCTTATCTTGGCAAGTACTAGCCCCGCCCACCCACCCTCTAGTTCCTTAGAGCATATGTGATTTGGCAAAATTAGTTTAACCTTAGCATGTACTAGGCCCGCCCACCCACCCTCTATCTTCTTAGAAGGTATGTGATTTGCCAAAATCACTCTTATCTTTGCAAGTACAAACAAAAAAATCAAAAATAGAAACATTGCAAATCGAAAAATTGCAAAATCTGAAAACTGAAACATCCAAAAATTGGAAAATCGAAAAAACGAAAAATTTTAAAATGAAAACTGGAATAGTCGCATATCTTGAAAATGAAAAAATAAACAAAAAATCGAAACACTGAAAAATCGAATAAGTGAAAAAATAACGAAACTAAAAACCGAAAAATTGCAAAATACAAAAATTGAAAAAATCGAAGTCAGTAAAATGGAGCCAAGTGGGCGGAGCTGAGTTTAGGTTTTTCTAAAGAGTTTTATAAGCAAATAGTAGCTCCGCCCACCGACCCCCTCTTCATTCCAGCGACTAATCTTAAAATTATTCAATCTTATCTCGCCAAGTACTAGCTGTGATTTGCCAAAATTAGTTTAACCTTAGCATGTACTAGGCCCGCCCACCCGCCCTCTATCTTCTTAGAAGGTATGTGATTTGCCAAAATCAGTCTTATCGTTGCAAGTACATACTAACAAAAAAATTAAAAATTGAAAAATCGAAAAAATGAAAAATTTTAAAATGAAAACTGAAAGAGTCGCATATCTTGAAAATGAAAAAACAAACAAAAAACGAAAAATCGAAAAATTGAACAAACGAAAAAGTGAAAAAATTAAAATTGAAAAAACAAAAAAATAAACACTGAAAAATCAAATAAGTGAAAAAATAACGAAACTAAAAAACCGAAAAATTGCAAAATATAAAAATTGAAAAAATGAAAGTCAGTGAAATGGAGACAAGTGGGCAGAGCTGAGTTTAGGTTTTTCTAGAGTTTTATAAGCAAATAGTAGCTCCGCCCACCGACCCCCTCTTCATTCCAGCGACTAATCTTAAAATGATTCAATCTTATCTCGGCAAGTACTAGCCCCGCCCACCCACCCTCTAGTTCCTTGGAGCATATGTGATTTGCCAAAATTAGTTTTACCTTGGCATGTACTAGGCCCGCCCACCCGCCCTCTATCTTCTTAGAAGGTATGTGATTTGCCAAAATCACTCTTATCTTTGCAAGTATATACAAACAAAAAAATTAAAAATTGAAAAATTGCAAATCGAAAAATTGCAAAATCTGAAAACTGAAACATCAAAAAATTGGAAAATCGAAAAAATGAAAAATTTTAAAATGAAAACCGGAAGAGTCGCATATCTTGAAAATATAAAAACAAACAAAAAACGAAAAATCGAAAAATTGAACAAACGGGAAACTGAGAAAAATAAAATTGAAAAAACAAAAAATAAAATCGAAACACTGAAAAATCGATTAAATGAAAAAATAACGAAGCTAAAAAACCGAAAAATTGCAAAATATAAAAATTGAAAAAATCAAAGTCAGTGAAATGGGGACAAGTGGGCGGGGCTGAGTTTAGGCTTTTCTAAAGAGTTTTATAAGCAAATAGTAGCTCCGCCCACCGACCGCCTCTTCATTCCAGTGACTAATCTTAAAATTATTCAATCTTATCTCGGTAAGTACTAGCCCCGCCCACCCACCCTCTATTTTCTTAGGAGGTATGTGACTTGCCCGAATTAGTTTTATCTTAGCATGTACTAGGCCCGCCCACCCACCCCATATCTTCTTAGAGGGTATGTGATTTGCTAAAATCAGTCTTATCTTAGCAAGTACTAACAAAATAATTAAAAATCGTGAAATTAAAGAAACGAAAAATTGAAAAATCCAAAAAATGAGAAATCAAAAATTGAAAACTCGAGAAAACAGAAAAATTGGAAAATCTGACACTGAAACATCCAAAAATTGGAAAATCGAAAAACTGAAAAATTCTTGAATGAAAACTCGAAGAGTCGCATATCTTAAAAATGAAAAACAAAACAAAATGAAAAATTGCAAATCGAAAAATTGAAGAAACGAGAAAGTGAAAAAATTAAAATTGAAAAAACAAAAAAATAAACACTGAAAAATCGAATAAGTGAAAAAATAACGAAGCTAAAAACCGAAAAATTGCAAAATATAAAAATTGAAAAAATCAAAGTCAGTGAAATGGGGACAAGTGGGCGGGGCTGAGTTTAGGTTTTTCTAAAGAGTTTTATAAGCAAATAGTAGCTCCGCCCACCGAGCCCCTCTTCATTCCAGCGACTAATGTTAAAATTATTCAATCTTATCTCGGCAAGTACTAGCCCCGCCCACCCACCCTCTATTTTCTTACAGGATATGTGATTTGCCAAAATCAGTCTTATCTTTGCAAGTACATACTAACAAAAAATTAAAAATTGAAAAATTGCAAATCGAAAAATTGCAAAATCTGAAAACTGAAACATCCAAAAATTGAAAAATCGAAAAAATAAAAAATTTTAAAATGAAAACTGGAAGAGTCGCATATCTTGAAAATGAAAAAACAAACAAAAATCGAAAAATCGAAAAACTGAACAAACGGGAAACTGAAAAAATTAAAATTGAAAAAACAAAAAATAAAATCGAAACACTGAAAAATCGAATAAGTGAAAAAATAACGAAGCTAAAAAATAGAAAAATTGCAAAATATAAAAATTGAAAAAATCAAAGTCAGTGAAATGGGGACAAGTGGGCGGGGCTGAGTTTAGGTTTTTCTAAAGAGTTTTATAAGCAAATAGTAGCTCCGCCCACCGACCCCCTCTTCATTCCAGTGATTAATCTTAAAATTATTCAATCTCATCTCGTTAAATACTAGCCCCGCCCACCCACCCTCTATTTTCTTAGGAGGTATGTGATTTGCCCGAATTAGTTTTATCTTAGCATGTACTATCTTCTTAGAGGGTATGTGATTTGCTAAAATCAGTCTTATCTTAGCAAGTACTACCAAAAAAATTTAAAATCGTGAAATTAAAGAAACGAAAAATTGAAAAATCTAAAAATGAGAAATCAAAAATTGAAAACTCGAGAAAACAGAAAAATTGCAAATCTGAAACTGAAACATCCAAAAATTGAAAAATCGAAAAACTGAAAAATTCTTAAATGAAAACTCGAAGAGTCGCATATCTTAAAAATGAAAAACAAAACAAAATGAAAAATTGCAAATCGAAAAATTGAAGAAACGAGAAAGCGAAAAAATTAAAATTGAAAAAACCAAAAAATAAACACTGAAAAATCGAAAAAGTGAAAAAATAACGAAAATAAAAAATCGAAAAATTGCAAAACATAAAAATTTAAAAAATCAAAGTCAGTAAAATGGAAACAAGAAGTTAATATTCAATTTTATCTTGGTAAGTACTAGCCCCGCCCACCCACCCTCTATTTTCTTAGAGGGTATGTGATTTGGCCAAAATTAGTTTTATCTTGTGTTGTTTATTTATGATGTATTTTGTTTAGGATAAGCTGAGGACAGTCCACGATATAAACTCTCAAAGCTAATGGTTTTAAGTACCCAGTCACTTGGATCAAGGCATCATTTAACATAATGTAAACCCGTTTGAATCGTTGATAAAGTGTGGTATAATTGAACGTAACGTAAACTCGTTGTTTGAATCGTTGATAAAGTGTGGCATAATTTAACATAATGTAAATTTTTGTTTGAATCGTTGATAAAAGTGATAAATGCCACAGGATTGATCGCGTTTCTGGGAAACATATTTTTGACGCATTTTTTTGAACGATGCATTCGTCCGACGTCATTTTGAACCTCCAGATTGCCTGCTATGTTTTATAAAATATTGATCTCATGGAATTTTGCTTGCAATTTTTCTTTATCTCACAATTTTAACTTCAGTAATTTTCTTGTTGTTTTTATAAACTTTTGCTAGTTTGTTGTTTCATGTAGATATTTTGTTGATTAATGTTTCCGTCAAAAAAATTATAAGATTTATTTGTTGTGAAAAAATTTCACGAGAGTGTATGGCGAATTTAAATGTTGTTTATTGCTCTTTTTGAAACTTTGACACTTGTTCGGTTGTAGTTTAATATCAGGGTCATAGAAATTGAACCTTTAAATGGAATTGAGGATAAATAACACCGAAACACGTGACAGAAGCGGAGGGCGCGGTTCCTAGTCGAGCGGGAGAACAGCCACAACCAGGGACCCCAAACTCCGCTCGTGCCACAACGCCCCCTATGGGCATGTTGGTGTGGAAAGTTTGCTCTGTACTCACCTTCCCCGTGTTGACCACCTCGCCGTCCTCCTCCAAAAGGTACTCCCTCATGCTTTTCACCTGGCTAGCGTTCATAGTGACCGTCCAAAACCTGATCACCCCGTCGCTGCAAGCCGTGGCGAAGCAATACGGCGCCAAGCACGCCGGATAAATGGACGCTGAGCTCAAATGCCCGGCGGCGGGAGCCGCATGCACGATTTCCACCCCATCCGGCACGGGTAGCACCTGCTTGACTTCCCTCGTCACGGTTATATTAATATGGGGACTAACTTTAGTTTGTTTGATATGCAGCGACTCCATGCTGTTTTTGCGAGAAATGTCGTTCTCGTCTTGGACTAAGTTACAATCCGGGACGTACATTTGGCTCCCGGTGAGCGAAAAGTCGGCTTCGTTGGAGGCTATGGTGAGTTTCCACATGTGGATTATGGTGTTTTGGTCAGTGCAATCTAACAGGACGATGTAGAAGGGTTCTTCAAAGACTGCGTTTTGCTGGAGGTCGACCATTGCGTCATGCTCGGAGAGATTGACCGGGGAGCTGCGCTGACCCGTGATTAGTTGCTCCTGGTAGACGTGGAGGAACGTGGTGTTTTGCCATTGGATGGCCTGGGAGATCGTCTCGAGTTGGATTATGCAGCCAGGTCGGGCCGTGCTCTGTTGAGACACGATGTTAATATTCTCCAGGAGACTCTCCTGGTTGTAGGAGGATAAGTCTGAAATACTGTCGTTTTCGTCGACTTCTCGGCGCTCTTTGAACGACAAGTCGGCTAGAAGAGTTCGTGCGTCTATGACTGCTTGGTAGACTCTTAGACACTCCCCGTCTGAGGCTACGAAGCACGCACTAGGTGAATTGGAGAAGTTCCCCAAGGTGCTCGACGGGAGAAGCGTCGGAATCCACGCCACGTTACTAAACGCTGACGGCTCAGGTGAACTAATCCGTGCCAGTTCACATATACCCCCAGACTTAGATAAGGGACCAACAGCATCTACCTTCCATAAAATCAGTTCGCTGCAGAAACCCTGCACAAATAAAATTAACCCTTGTTACAAAACCACACCCCCGAACTAACCCTGCTTTGGTTCTTGTTTTGTTCGATAATATTGTGATGACTGGTGGTTAGTAGGAGCGGCAAAACCGGATGGCACGTTATATCGTTGACCCGGAATCGGTGCCCGGACGCCCTACTCCTGTGTCCTATACTTAAAACCTGACTAAACTTGCTTTGGTCCGCGAACGTCAGCTCCCACAAGTTGAGCGTTCCGTTGTCGTGCTTAGTGACTAGAGAAACCACCACGGACTCCTCGTTTTGTTCGTCTTGTGGTTGTTGAACTTCAGCGTTGGGGTTACTCTCATCTTCTTCTTTAACACTGGCCAGACTAACCCCTGGTCCGTCCCGGTGGGCGGCGTCTTTAACTAGGTGTTTGATGATGGGGGCGGCACTGTAGAGACTGACCGTGGTGGACATGCTCATGGAATCGCCCAAGGGGAACGCAGACGGGATGCGGGTGGAGAAAGAGACCTGGGCTTGGCGGAACGACCCCGGGTGGTACTCGTCGAGCCACTCCACAACCCTGTGAGACTGCTATCACTGGACTTTAGTCACCAGATTTTACTCACCAGATGAGAAAGCTGCCATCTACTGGGTGTATACTGAAGAGTAAATCAGGGCTGTGGTGCCAGTCCCTCAAGAGTGTTTCGATTCGCGCGTCCAAACTATCAGGGCCGCCGGTCTCCATCAGAGGTTCCTCGCTGGGTTCTATACCTTCCGGGTGTTCGACGACCCTCCTCGTCAGTTCTTCGAGAAGCGACTCGGCTTGCATGCTGAAGTGCATTTCTTTGTTGTCCAGCCAGTGTAAAACGAAAGCCGGGCGAGGGTTGCAGAAGCTAATACTGGGTACGAGAGGAATATCGGTTTCGGCGTTGACAGAGGCCGCGAGGTGGAAATGGAGGCCTGGGGTGACACCTACCCAACAATTATTACTGAAAAAAAAAAATAAAAACAAAAGTTTCCTAACCTGTGCCGTGGTAACCGTAGGAATGGAAGTCGTGCACGCTGTATGTAGACGGTAAGGTGGGTATAGGGGGCGAAGGACCCCCCACTCCTTGGGCTTGTCGCTTAGCGTGGCGCCGAATATGGAAACATGTTCTAGAAGTAAAAGTAACTCAATCAGATTTAACTCCCGTACTGAGTAACTAATTTTTACTTCATGTGTTTCAGTCTTTGCATGAATCTATGCTTGTGGCGGTGCGTCCGGAACTTGGGGTGGTGAGCTTGTGGGTCCAGTTGCGACAAATTAACTAACCCGTCTTCTGGTAACACCGTTTCGACCCACAGGCGGCAGATGTTGTCCTTGCAGGATGTGACGAGCATGTTTGAGACTGAGCCTCTGGAATATTTTTGCTTTACAAATGGAAACCTTATTGAGTTACGGAAAGAGTTACTTTGGCATGTATTTGCTGGTTGTTCGCCAGGATAAATGGGTGACAGCGCGCGGATGCGCGATGTAGACGAAACCATAGTCGAGTTCGCTGGGGCCGTCGGTACTTTTGGACGTAAATAGAACTGAAATAACAATGACGACTTTGAGTTTCATATTTTTGCAGCGGGGCTTGAAAAAAAGGGTTAAATTGTACTTACAGTGTTTGTTTTCGTACCAAATTTTGACTAGTCTGTCGTTCTCGCCACATGTTGCAAATAAGGTTCCATCGGGACTGAAAGCCAAGTGTTGGACTGGGATAGCGGTGCTTGCTTTCCAGACGCATTGCCAACAAGTTTGTTCTTGTTCTGGAACAAAGACAACACTAAAGAATTAAGAATTTTTAGAGAAAAATTTTGTAATTTTCGAACTACGTCAAACATTTCTTTCTCCACATTCAAATAAAATGACAATATTTTTTGTTGAAAATTTTGTTGTACAACCTTATTATGGAGATTATATGAATGACTTCTGAATTTTCTCTCGGGAAGATTGGAATTATTTTAAAAAATTACCACTATTTGGGATCGAGAACTCTATTATTCAGTTACGGGAGTCATGAAGAAACGTATACACTTAAAAAAATACAAAAAACCCTTCGAAAATTCAAAAAAATTGAGAAAATTAAAAAAATTAATACATAGAATAGGAATAACCAAAATAATAATAAAAAAAAAAATGAAAAAAAAATGTTTTCCTTCTTTTTGGGTAATTTCGATTTTTCGATTTTTTAAATTTTGTCGATTTTGTATATTTTTTGGAATTTTTCGTTTTCGATTTTTGGATATTGTGGATTTCTAGGAATTTTTGTATTTTTTAGATTTTTTTTACAATTTTTTTTAAGTACTGGACTTTTTTGGATTTTCAGAATATTGGATTTCTTCATTTTTTGATTTGGATTTTCTGCATTTTTTTCGTTTTTTTTGCATTTCTCGTACCCAGTATTAGCGCGTTTTGGATTTTTGGAATTATTTTCAATTTTTTGGGTTTTTCCGAATTTTTGGATTTTTCGGATTTTTTCAATTTTTCGGATTTTTTCCTCTTGAATTTTTTGGATTTTTGGAATTGTGTATTGGATTTTTTTTGAATTGTCGACTTGTTGAATTTTTTGAATTTTTTTCAATTTGGATTATTGATATAGCATTTTTTTCCTTTTTTTTCGACTTTTTTGGAATTGCATATTGGATTTCTTGGATTCTGTCCTCATGGAGTGTTTAGATTTTGGAATTGTTGAATTTTTGGAATTATTGGGCTCTTTGGAATTTTTCGACATTTTGAATTAATTTAATTCTTCAGCTTTTTTTACATTTTTTTTTTGGATTTTGTCGCCTTTGGATATTTAGAATTTATTGGATCTTGTGGATTTTGAATTTTTTGGATATTCTCGTTTTGGAGTTTTTGGATTTATGGGATTTTTGGAATCATTGCATTTTTTCATTTTTATAATCGATTTTTTTTTGGCTTTTTTCTGATTTTTGGAGTTACGTATTTGGATTTTTGAATTTATTTGATTTTTTGAATTTTTCGTAGTTTCGATTTCTTTGAATTTTTTTGATTTTTTGGAATTCTTCGATTTTTTGATTTTCTCGTTTTGGATTTTTGGAATTATTGGATTTATCGGATTTTTTTTCTCTTGGATTTTTTGGAATTGTGTATTGATTTTTTGGAATTTTGAATTATTGGATTTCGTGGATTTTGATTTTTTTGCATATTTACGTTTTGGAGTTTTTGGATTTTTGCGATTTTTTGGAATTTAATCGATTTTTCAGATTTTTTTCCGCTTGGATTTTTTGGATTTTACGGATTATGAACTACATTTTGAATTGTTAGATTTCTTGCATTTTTTCGATTTGGATCATTTTTTTTAATCGATTTTTTTGGGCTTTTTTGGATTTTTGGAATTACGTATTGGATTTTTTAATTTTGTCCTTACGAATTTTTTAGTATTTTGGAATTGTTCAATTTTTTTGTTTAGGATTTTTGGATTATTGTTTTTTTTTTGGAATTTTTCGAATTCTATAAATTTTTAATTTTTTATTATTTTGTTTAATATTGTCGCTTTTGATTTTTAGAATTATTGGATGTCGTGGATTTTGGATTTTTTGGATATTTTCGTTTTGGGTTTTTGGGTTTATTTGATTGTTTCAATTTTTCGGATTTTTGAAATTATTGGAATTCTGAAGACTTGTCGTTTTGGATTTTTTGAGTTCTTTTCGTTTTTTTGGATTTTTTTGATTTTTCCGTTTTCGATTTTGAAATCATGCTTTCTTGGATTTTTTGCATTGTTGGAATTATTTAGATTTTTTTTGTTTTTTTTTTTTTATTTTTGAATTATTGAATTTCGTGGATTTTGAATTTTTTGGTTTGGAGTTTTTGGATTTTTGTGGAATTTCAATGATTTTTCAGATTTTTCCTCTTGAATTTTTTGGATTTTTGGAATTATTAATTGAATTTTTTTTGGATTTGTTCCATTTGGATTCTTGGAATTATTGGATTTCTTGGCTTTTTTTCTCTTGGATTTTTTTAATTATGCACTGATTTTTTTTGGATTTGCGAATTATTGGATTTCCTGGATTTTGATTTTTTGCATACATATTTTCGTTTCGGAGTTTTTGGATTTCTGGGATTTTTTGAAATTTCATCGATTTTTCAGATTTTTTCCTCTTGGATTTTTTAGATTTTTGGAATTATGAATTGGATTTTTTTTAATTTGTTCCTATTGGATTTTTTGGATTTTTGAATTACTAGATTTTTTTGATTTGGATTTTTGAAATTATTGGAATTCTGAAGATTTGTCGTTTTGGATTTTTTGAGTTCTTTTCGTTTTTTTGGATTTTTTTTATTTTTCCGTTTTCGATTTTGGACTCATGCTTTCTTGGATTTTTCGCATTCTTGGAATTATTTAGATTTTTTTTGTTTTTTTTTTGGATTTGTGAATTATTGAATTTCGTGGATTTTGAATTTTTTGGTTTGGAGTTTCTGGATTTTTGTGGAATTTCAATGATTTTTCAGATTTTTCCTCTTGAATTTTTTGGATTTTTGGAATTATTAATTGAATTTTTTTGGATTTGTTCCATTTGGATTCTTGGAATTATTGGATTTCTTGGCTTTTTTTCTCTTGGATTTTTTAATTATGCATTGATTTTTTTGGATTTGTGAATTATTGGATTTCGTGGATTTTGATTTTTTGCATAGATATTTTCGTTTCGGAGTTTTTGGATTTCTGGGATTTTTTGAAATTTCATCGATTTTTCAGATTTTTTCCTCTTGGGTTTTTTAGATTTTTGGAATTATGGATTGGATTTTTTTCGATTTGGATTTTTGAAATTATTACATTTTTTCATTTTTTGTATCGATTTTTTGGGCTTTTTTGAATTTTTTGAATTACGTATTGGACTTTTGGATTCTGTCCATACGGATTTTTTAGTATTTTGGAATTGATGGATTTTTTTATTTTGTCGCTTTTGGATTTTTAGAATTATTGGATTTCGTGGATTTTGAATTTTTTGGATATTTTCGTTTTGGAGTTTTTGGATTTTTGTGATTTTTGGAATTATTGCATTTTTACATTTTTCTAATCGATTTTTTTGGCTTTTTTCGGATTTTTGGAGTTACGTATTTGGATTTTTGAATTTATTTGGATTTTTGAATTTACTTGGATTCTTAAATTTATTTGACTTTTTGGATTTTTGAGATTTTTTTAGAATTTAATCGATTTTTCAGATTTTTTTCCGCTTGGATTTTTTGGATTTTACGAATTATGAACTACATTTTGAATTATTAGATTTCTTGCGTTTTTTCGATTTGGATTATTAGATTTTTTCATTTTATTTAATCGATTTTTTGGGCTTTTTTTGATTTTTGGAATTACGTATTGGATTTTTTAATTTTGTCCTTACGAATTTTTTAGTATTTTGGAATTGCTCAATTTTTTTGTTTAGGATTTTTGGATTATTGTTTTTTTTTTGGAATTTTTCGAATTCTATAAATTTTTTATTTTTTTATTATTTTTTTTTTTGCTTTTTAGAATTATTGGATGTCGTGGATTTTGGATTTTTTTGGATATTTTCGTTTTGGGTTTTTGGGTTTATTTGATTTTTTCAATTTTTCGGATTTTTGAATTTTTTTTTTTTCGATTTCTTTGGATTTTTTCGATTTTTTCGTTTTGGATTTTGGAATCATGTACTGGCTTTCTTGGATTTTTTGCATTTATTGAATTTCGTAGATTTTGAATTTTTTGGATATTTTCGTTAGGAGTTTTTGGGTTTTTGTGAATTTTTTTTGGAATTTCAACGATTTTTCAGATTTTTCCTCTTAAATTTTTGGATTTTTGGAATTATTGGATTTCTTGGATTTTGTGGATTTTGTCCTTACGAATTTTTTAGTATTTTGGAATTGTTGGATTTTTTTTTTAATTTTTCGATATTTTGAATTCTATCAATGTTTTAGGTTTTTTTTGCATTTTTTTTTATATTGTCGCTTTCGGATTTTGGATTTTTTGGATATTTTCGTCTTGAATTTTTGAGTTTATTTGATTTTTTAGATTTTTGGACTTTTGAAATTATTGGATTTCTTGAGTTTTGTCGCATTTTTTGCATTTTTTTTCGATTTCTTTGGATTTTTTCAATTTTTTGGAATTCTTCGATTTTTTGATTTTTTCCTTTTGAATTTTTGGAATTATGTATTGGTTTTCTTGAATTTTTTGCATTTTTGGAATTATTTATAGATTTTTTTGGATTATCCGGATTTTTGAATTACTGAATTTCCTGAATTTTGAATTTTTTGGATATTTTCGTTTGGAGTTTTTTGAGTTTTGTGTTTTTTTGGAATTTCATCGATTTTTCAGATTTTTTCCTCTTGAATTTTTGGAATTACGATTGGGATTTTTTGAATTAGTTTCTTTTGCATTTTTGAAATTATTGGATTTGTTGATTTTTTTTATAGCATTTTTTTGGCTTTTGTCCTTACGGATTTTTTCGTATTTTGGAATTATTGGATTTTTTTGTTTTGGATTTTTGGAATTTTTCGATATTTTAAATTTTATCAATTTTTTTAATTGTTTTTTTTTTATTTTTTTAATATTGTCGCTTTTGGATTTTTAGAATTATTGGATTTCCTGGATTTTGTTTTTTTTCGTTTTCGTTTTGGAATTTTGGGTTTATTTGATTTTTTCGATTTTTTGGATTTTTGGAATTGTGTACATAATGATTTTTTTGGAATTTTGAATTATTGGATTTCGTGGATTGAATTTTTTGGATGTTTTCGTGTTGGAGTTTTTGTATTATGAATTGGATTTTTTTGGATTTGCTCCTTTAGGATTTTTTAATTTTTGGATTTCTTGGATTTTTGAAATTATTGCATTTTTTCATTTTTTATCGATTTTTATCATATTTTCGTTTTAGATTTTTGGATTCATTTGATTTTTTCGATTTTTAGAATTATTGGATGTCTTGAATTTTGTCGTTTTGGATTTTTTTTTAACTTTTTTTCGTTTTTTTTTCGATTTCTTTGGATTTTTAATTTTTTTTTTTTGACTTTTCCTTTTTCCGATTTCCTTGGATTTTTTTGATATTTTCGTTTTGAGTATTTCGATTTTTAGGATTTTCTGCAATTTTTTAGATTTTTCGGATTTTTTCGTCTTGGATTTTTTTTTATTTTTGAAATATTGGATTTCTTGGGTTTTTTCGATTTGGATTTTTGGTATTATGGCATTTTTTCGTTTTTTTTTCGATTTTTTTTTCATATGGATTTTTTTGATTATCGGAATTGCTGAATTTTTCATTTAGGATTTTCTGAATTATTGAGTGTTTTGAAATTTTTCGATATTTTGAACTTTTTCTATTATTTAGTTTTTTCCATTTTTTTCGATTTTGTCGCTTTGGATTTTTAGAATTCTTGGATTTCGAAAATTTTGGATTTTTTGGATAGGTAATTTTGGATTTTTCGTTTTCAAGTTTTGCAATTACAATTGGATATTTTAAAATTTTGTACAAAAATCGGGGTAATTATAATTTCCAAAAATATTGTTCTTGTGGTTTTTGAACCCCACTCTTTGCTCATCATTCTATATTAATAATATGTATTGGAATACGGCGTTCATCATTACTCGCTTATTGTTTCACACGATACGGGAAATTTAATCATTTATCTTTTATTGTTACCATAACTAAGGATTATCATAATATTTATTATATTATTTATCATATAACCAAAGCAAATTAATAACCGATATTTAATACCTTCCAAAATTACAATCGATTCGTGACAGCTAAGCCAGTTATTTTATCTTTTTTTTAAGAAAAAAATAATTTACTAAAATCTCTATCTTAATCATACAGTGTTTTAGTAATAATTAAAAACCCACCAAACAATAGAATTCGAAACGATAAAATGTGCTTGGACGTCATCACATAAACATAATCAATAACGTCTACAACCACGGAATTAATTACCAGCATTTATCTGGGACAACTTCACCAATTAGAACCATTAAATTAAGTCACAAGTGTTAATTTGAACATCATTTTCAGTAATTTCACAAATACGTAAAAAACATACCCAATGTTTGCTCTGTTATTTTTAGATTATTTATTTACAGACGTATATTATTAAAGTTGAAGTGCAGCAAACACTCTATTTTTCCACAAACTTTAATCAAGAATAAATAAATGAATGAAATAAAAAATGTAGAATACCTTGTGGCTTATCCGGCTCCTCCAAATAATCCATCGAATCCGACCCATCCGCATTCTCGCCCCCGCCCAACGTGAAAGTGACATTCGGGGTCTCCTCCACCGGCTGCGAATTCAGGTGCCACAGCTGCACGTGCGCCCCCGCAGTCAACAACCGCGTGCCTTCCAAATTCCAGCTCAGCGCCTTGATGGACGAATCCGTCTTCAAAGTGCCCGTCTGGACCCACCTGTAGTCCAAGCCCTACACAAACCCAATCAATACCCTCCCAGCAACCACCTCCAACAACTCACATGCCGCGAAGTGTTATGTATGAGAGGAGTCGGCTCGTAGATGCACACCGTGTTGTCATAAGCGGCTGCGATTTTACCCGTGTCGCTCGAACAGTCAATCGAGCTGATCCGGATGTAGTCATGCACAGCGCCTGGAATGATCTGGACCCGCTCGAACGTGGAGGCGAGGATCACGATGTTGCACCCGGCGGCGTAGGCCTGGAATTGGGGGCGGTGGAGACGGAGGGGCGTCTGGGGGGTACTTACCGTGAAGGGAACTCCCTCGACGCTGCCTACTGCGAAGCATTTGTCGCCGGCGTTGCAAGCGCCGCTCACGATTTGGTGGAGATTCATTTTGGTGGCGGTTTGGGGTGGTTTAGAGCGACGGAGTCGTTTCAAGGGGGGACCACATCTTGAGGGCAAATCAATTTGTTTTCTGCAACTTTGACAGGACCGACATACTTTTGACGTTTGATCAGCTGATTGTGTCATGTGCCGTACGTCAAACTTAAAAAATGGCGCCATTGTCGTTATTTGATTTTATATTTTTTATTTTCAGGTGAATTGGAACTAGAAACGCCTTCTAAACGTCGGTTTTGGATCAGTGTTGTGAAAAAGAGGTAAATTTTATCAATATACATTATACATATCTTGATTACTAATAATAATTATCATTGATCGTTGGCTAAGTTAGGCAACACAATATACACCGCTCACGATAGGAAATTCAAAAAAAGCCGGCATTGTTTTGTTAAATACGTTTTTTTTCTTTTTTTTACTAAAAAGAAAAAACACAACTAAACTAGAAGTCTCAGCTATTCTCCTTCACTCATTTTTAATTTTAATATAAATTGTTTCCCAGTTTCAGTCTTTTAAGACGACGTCACCAACAAGTTGGTGCTATTATTGATTTCGTGGCTCCGGAAACGCCGCCACCGGAGCGTCACGACGCCGGGTAAAAGTTTTATTAGGATAACAGAAGAAGCGAGAAATTTGTGCGTCGCTTACAAATCGATATTTCTTTATCTACCCCTTCGTAACATTTACCATCTGTCGTATAAATAGGACTGCAGCAGTGGGAGTGTTGTGTTAGATCGACGCCCATATTGTTGCACATGGGGATGTGATGACGTCACGTCAGAATTTATGTAGTAAATGGGTTTGAAATTTTAGAAAATGGCATACGTCTACACGGGTGGTTTATGAATCTGTGCTGAGTTTTTAGCCGAGACATTCGTAGCATCCTGCAAAACCGGATGCTCTGAAATCTTGCAAACGAATAAATTGTATACAAAATATGATGAGATGAGTTCATACTTGTGAATTGTCCTTGCATTCATATTTTTGAAAATTGGCAGATTTTCCAATTTGTCGATGTTTCAATTTTTCATTTTTCGTTTTTTTTTTGGTGGGGATTTTTGTTTTTTTTTATATATTTTTTATTTTATAGATTTTTTACGATTTTTTTTAGTATTGGACTTTTTTGGATTTTCGGAATTATTGGATTTCTTGAATTTTTCGATTTGAATTATTGAAATTATTTCCAATTTTTTTTAGGTTTTTCCGATTTTTGGATTTTCTCTTTTTTCGATTTCATTGGATTTTTTTAGATATTTTCGTTTTGGATTTTCGAATTTTTGGGTTTCTTGAATTTTTTTGATTTTTTGGAATTTCATCGATTTTTCAAATTTTTTCCTCTTGGAATTTTTGGATTTTTGGAATTATGAATAGGATTTTTTTGAATTTGTTCCTATTGGATTTTTTGGATTTTTGAATTATTGGCTTTCTTGCGTTTTTTCGATTTGGATTTTTGAAATAATTACATTTTTTTAATTTTTTTTATACGATTTTTTTGTTTTTTTTTGGACTTTTGGAATTACGTATTGGATTTTTGGATTCTGTCCTTAGGGATTTTTTAGTATTTTGGAATTGTTGGATTTTTTCGTTTAGAATTTTTGGAATTTTTCGATATTTTGAATTCTATCAATTTTTTAGTTTTTTTTTTTCTTTTTTTTTAATTTTGTAGCTTTTGAAATTTTAGAACTATTGGATTTCGTGGGGTTTGGATTTTTTGGATATTTTCGTTTTGGATTTATTTGATTTTTTCGATTTTTTGGATTTTTAAAATTATTGGATTTCTTGAGTTTTATCGTTTTGGATTTTATTAGTTTTTTTTCTTCGGATTTTTTCAATTTTTTGGAATTTATAGATTTTTTGATTTTTTCGTTTTGATTTTTGGAATTATGTAGTGGCTCCCTTGGATTTTTACATTTTTTAAATGATTTATAGATTTTTTTGTTTTTTTTTTTTGATTTTTGAATTATTGAATTTCGTGGATTTTGAATTTTTTGGATATTTTCGTTTGGAGTTTTTGGATTTTTGAATTTATTTGATTTTTTCGATTTTTTGAATTTTTAGAGTTATTGGATGTCTTGAATTTTGTCGTTTTAGATTTTTTGAACTTTTTTGTTTGGATTTTTTGTTTTTTTTTTTCGATTTTTATATATTTATTTTATTTTTTACATTTGTTACGATTTTTTTTAAGTGATGGACTTTTTTGGATTTTCGGAATTATTGGATTTCTTGGATTTTTCGATTTGAATTTTCTAGATTTATTTCGTTTTTTTTTCGACTTCTTTGGATCTTTGAAATTATTTCAAATTTTTTTAGGTTTCCCGACTTTTTGGATTTTTTCTTTTTTCGATTTCCTTGGATTTTTTTTATATTTTCGTTTTGGATATTTTGGATTTTCGAATTTTTGGATTTCTTGGATTTTTTCGATTTGGAGTTTTTGTATTTTTGGAATTATGTATTGATTTTTTGGATTTTTGGGATTTTTTTGGAATTTTATCGATTTTTCAGATTTTTTCCTCTTGGATTTTTTAGATTTTTGAAATTATGATTTGGATTTTTTTGAATCTGTCCCTATTGGATTTTTTGGTTTCTTGAATTATTGGATTTCTTGCGTTTTTTCGATTTGGATTTTTGAAATTATTAAATTTTTTCATTTTTTTATCGATTTTTTTTGGGCTTTTTTGGATTTTTGGAATTACGTATTGGAATTTTGGATTCTGTCCTTACGGATTTTTTAGCATTATAATTGTTGGAATTTTTCGATATTTTGAATTCTATCAGTTTTTTAGTTTTTTTTTTTCATTTTTTTTTTAATTTTGTCGCTTTTGGATTTTTTCAATTTTTTGGAAATCTTCGATTTTTTGATTTTTTCGTTTTGAATTTTTGAAATTATGTATGTATTGGCTTTCTTGGATTTTTTGCATTTTTGGAATTATTTATAGATTTTTTTGTTTTTTTTATTTTTGAATTATTGAATTTCGTGGATTTTGAATTTTTTTGATGTTTTCGTTTGAAGTTTTTAAATTTTTAGAATTATTGGATGTCTTGAATTTTGTCGTTTTGGATTTTTTGAACTTTTTTCGTTTTTTTTTTGTTGGTATTTTTTTGTTTTTTTTTTCGGTTTTTTTAAGTAATGGACTTTTTTGAACTTCTTGGATTTTTGGATTTGAATTTTCTGAATTTTTTTCATATTTTTCGATTTCTTTGGATATTTGGAATTATTTCCGATTTTTTGGATTCCCTGTTTTTTTGATACCTATCCTTGGATTTTTTGGATATTTTCATTTTGGATTTTCAAATTTCTGGATTTCCTGGATTTTTTTCGATTTGGATTTTTATTATTGTATTTTTTCGGTAGGGGAATCAAACATGAAGAAACGTATCCACCTAAAATCAAAAACCTCAAAAATTTAGAAAATTCAAAAAATGAATAAAATAGAAAAAACTAAAATAATCAAATGGGTTTTTTTATTTTGGTCGAGTTTTTCGAATTGATTGAGTAGTTTGGATTTAGCGATTTTTTTTTTATTTTTTTGAAATACTCGATTTCTTAGGATTTTTTGATTTTTTCGATTTTCGGGATTATTGGATTTCTTGATTTTTTTATTTGGGTCTTCGTTTTTTTCGATTTCTTTGGATTTTTTCGATTTTTTGGAATTCTTCGGTTTTTTCGATTTATTTGGATTTTTTCATGTCAAATTTTTGGAATTATTTGATTTTTTTTTATTATTTCAATTTCTTAGTGAATCAGATTGTCCAATTTCCCGATTTTTCAATTTTTCATTCTTCAATTGTTTGATTTTTGAATTTTAGAATTTTTTCGGTTTCAATTTTTTTAATTTTTCGATTTTACCACTATCGATTTTTTGATTTTTCAGTTTTACTGTTTATTAATTTTTTGATTTTCAATTATGTATTAAATTTTTCAGTTTTGTAATTTGACAAATTTTTTTCGAATTTTATTTGTTCAAAATTTAGATTTTAATTCTCCAAGTTTTTTATCTTTCTGTTTAATTATTTTTACACTTTTTCGTTTTTCGTAAACGTATCGGATACTTCAATTTTTTATTTTTAAAGTATCCAAATTTCATTGTTTCCATTTTCTAATTCAATTTTTGATTTTTCAATTATCCGAATTTCATTGTTTCGATTTTCTAATTTTTTTATTTATAATATTTCAAAATTTCGATTTCCAATTTTCCAAGTTTTCAATTTTTCGATTTCACAATTCCGCAATTTTTTTATTTTTCAATTCCTTGTTCTTACAATTTTTTGATTTTTCAATTTTTCGGTTTTCGAATTCTTCGATTTTTGATTTTCAATTTTTCGATTCTTCAGTTTTATAATTTTGTAGTCTTTCATTTTTACAGTTTAATACATTTTTGAGTTTACAATTATCCAGTTTGTCAATTTTACAACTTTTTGTATTTATTTTTCGAAAACTGCTACCAATTTTTTAGGAATTTTTCAAAAATTTGATTGTTAAAACAAATTTTTAGAAAATCTTGCTGCCGAACCATAAACACGCTATATTTTTGGAATCAGCACGTCGAAATCTACACCCTAGGATTTTAGCCCATTTTTGGACAACTTTTTCTACGGCAAAAAGTTTCAAAATCCGTCCACTATGAAGCTTTTGATTTTTTTTTTTCGAACTTAATAATTGAAAATTGAGAAATTCTTAATTAATTAAAAACCAAATAACTTTAATTTTTTTTAAACCTAGATAAGACCACTTGACAAAATAAAATTCACTCCTCTTTTCAAAGTAAATAAAATAAGCCAATGAAATTCTAAAACGAAAGTGGGTGGGGTCAACTTTACATTTTTGCCTAGATTCCACTGTTTATCAACATAAAATCCACTTTTCGTCCAGTAAAATGAAGGACCAATCGAGAATTTTTTGCGAACATACAATACGATTTTCATCTGAGAGTAAATAAAATAAGCCAATGAAATGCAGACGCGGAGGTGGGTGGGGTTAACTTCACCTTTCGTCTATTTTCCTTTTGTTTGTCATTACAAAATCACAACCAATAAAACGAGTGACCAATTTCATTGGCTCTTAATTAAAGAGGAACCTCATCTCGGCGAATATCAATTCAGGTGACAGTGAAATTATTCTATCTGATTGGTGCATTTTATCGAATGTATTTACAGAGAATTTTTATATTTTATGAATTGTTCCAAAGTTTCACTTGTTTAATTTAAATAAGTGACATTAAGGATTTTGGAGTGTCGGCACAATAAGATAAAATTCCAAAATTTTGTTATCAGATCAGTTTTGGTAAAAAATAACAACCAAATAAAATAGGGAAAATCTTAAAATTATTTATTTTGATACATATTTTTCAAACTTTTTATATCTCATTTGCCAAAATCACTCTTATCTTATAAAATATTAAGCCCCGCCCACCCACCCTCTCTTTTCTTGGAAGGTATGTGATTTGCCAAAATCGATCTTACATATTTTAGCAGGTACTAACTTTACCTTTATTGCAACTCCCGAAACATCCGTACATAACGTACTGAGAACTTAATCCGCCATTTTCCAAACACCCGGTATATTTTTACATATTTTGATTGTCTTAAGCTATACAACCACATTTTATTTTTTAAATTACGATGCGACGTAACCCCATGGAGGAAAGAATACCTATATTATTTCCCCCACCAAACTTTGATGACGTCACTTCCAATTTTGCCAAGCAAATCTCGCTTGGAAATTGTGGATTTTGGCAAAAATGCGACATTTCTGTAAACTGGTGAAAAAGAATGGAAGTGATGACGACAAAAATATCTATTTGTTGACCAAGAAAACAAAGGTTTTAAGTGATTAATTTTCATCCTTTAAACACTCGTTCGGCAAACAAAGACACTCGATTCCGCTTAACTGCAAGATAATTTCGAACGTGGATTTAATACGTAACTTGAACAAAATTATTTGCAAAACCATTTTCACTGTCATTGTGTATCCAGACAACGATGTCCTTACTCAAATTTTCCTTTTTCGTGTTGGTACTTCTCCATCGCTTTACTTCAACAAACAGCAACCCTGGTAAGTCAACAAAATTTGTAAATACGTCACACCTGTGGTTCCCAACAGACAACTTCGACCTCCTCAAGGAAGAACTGGTTGAACTTTTCACCAATGGTACCATCCGCTCCACTTTACCCCAACATTTGGCCCCATATCAAGTACCCCAACTCTTTGACGGAACCAAGCAATTCCCACGAAATCCCCTAACTTGTTCTCTGTGTAAATTCGTCTTCAAACAAGCCATCACTCTTAGAAAAAACGGAGCCACCAGAGAGACCATTTTGAGCACGATGAAGTTTCTTTGCGTCACTATGAGTTTCGCAAGTGATAGGGTTTGTACCGGACTGATCGACATCAACGCCGAAGTTCTCTTCTACCTAGTCGATAGTGGTACCAAAGTCCTGGAAAAACGAATCTGTGAGTCCCTTTTTCAAGGTTGGGGGTGTTCGCGTGGTCGTTACCGGTGGTCCATCCAGCTACCAAGTCAAGATTTTTCGTTGAACACCACCACAAGTACCACCACCCTTGGGGAAAGTTTCCAAATTTTACAATTATCGGACATACACTATGATCCTGATTACCAACCTTACGGAAACGCGTACTGCCATGAACCCCTCTGTTGTCAGAAGGATCAAGGTCCTGCGTTATCTTCCAGCAGTGAGTGTGGTTATTGGACGGATTACAATGCCGCAGATTCACCTTGGCACCTAATCGAAGAAACCATCAGACAAGCGAAGACCCAAAACTTCAAGTATGTGTACTTCACAGGCGATATTATTAGTCACAAGGTTTGGGACACCAGTGTATCGAAAAATCGGGATTCCATTCTTTCGTTGTATAGTTTCTTTAAGGAAAAGTTTGACGTTCCTGTGTTCCCCATCTTCGGCAACCACGAACCCCACCCTGTAAACCTGTAGGAACTAACCCTTATTGTTAATTTGACACCTAATGACACAATTTTAGTTGGGCACCAAGAAAGGTCACCGGGTCTTTATCCACCCAGTGGCTGTTTGACCTAGCGGCTAAGTCTTGGTCGGACTTGATTGGCCACAATGTAACCCAAACGGTACTCAAAGGTGGCTACTATAGTGTTTCTCCGGAACCCGGGTTTAGGGTTATAGCGATAAATAGCAACCCTTGTTACACTTTCAACTTTTGGTTGATTTACGACGACACTGAACTCAAAGAGCAACTACAATGGTTAGCTGATACTTTAAAAGACGCTGAAGACAATGATGAGCGTGTCCACATTCTGTCCCATATTCCCGCAGGAACATCCGAGTGTCTTGTAGCTTGGGACGTGCAGTACTCCCGAATCGTCCAACGGTACGACAATACATAGACGTGTTCTAACGAAAGTAGATTTTCGGATATAATTACAGGACAGTTTAATGGACACAGCCACTGGGACGAGTTTCGGGTTTTCTACAGAGGTACTAAACCCACAGGAGTGGCTTTCAATGGAGCCTCTGTCACTCCCTACAGCTGGTCTAACCCCAGCTATAAAATCTACGACGTCGATTCAACCATTTTCGTAAGTACCTACCGATTTTGGAAAATTTTGTCACGTCTTGTAGACCCTTCAAGATTACTCTGAGTGGACGTTTGACCTAAACCAAGCCAACTCTCAACCAGCTAATCAATCTATTGATTGGTACAAACTGTACAGTTTTGTGGAGGCGTACGACGTCGATAGTTTAGAGCCGGATCAAGTGGATTTCCTTTTGTACAAGATGGTTAAGAATCGGTCGCTGGTCCAGGATTACTATAGGTGGGTTTTGATGGGTTTGGCAGTTGGTTGTGACGTGTTTCCAGGTTTAAGTACCGGGATGGTGATTTTCCGATGAAGGAGGGTTGCAATGAGGAATGCGAGGATGATAATTTGTGCCAGATTACGACCACTGTGTTTGGGGACACGGCGCAGTGTAGTCGATTTTTGAATATGGGTAGACGAAGTGCTGGTTCTGGGTTTCATCCAGGTTATTTGATAGTGATGTCTGTTGTCTTCAGTTTTCGTGTTTTTCTTTAACACAGTTTGTCTATTATTTTATTGTCAATAAAAATCAACAATGATATTACGTTTAAGGTTTGTTTTATTTAATAAAATGTTTTTTGCAGTTGTTTTCTTTGTCAACAAGAAAAAGGAAATCTTAGGTCTGGGTAATAAAAACTGATTTTTGGTGTAAGTGACTCCAGTTTTGGACACACTATATAATTTTGTAATTCTGACAAGTTTTTTTAAGTGTTCTTTTTATGAAGTGTCAAATTGTTTCCTGGCTCATTTAGTGAGTGAAAAGAAGTGTTTATTTGGTTGCCTACAACACTCAATGAATGTTATTGAAGGTATTTTAATGTGGTCTCGATTTGCTCATTCCAAAAATATAGAATGTTTAGGGTCACGAAGCAAAATTTTCGCTAGAATCGGTAAGAAATGCGAATTTTTGAAGATTTCTAAAAATTTCGATATTTCAACGGGCGATTCCGGAAAAACGGTTGCAGTTATCAAAGAAACGAAGCCGGAAATGAGTTCTAGAGCTCGAAATCTACAAGAAAATGTATTTAGTTGAGTCTCAAAAATGTCAAAATTTGGCCGAAATTTGAAGAAGGGGGGACCATTGGAAAAATTTCACTTTAAAAAAAGTCGCCCAAAAATTCTGAAAAAATTCAGGGATGTAGATCTCGACTTGCTGATTCCAAAAATATAGAATGTTTAGGGTCACGGAGCAAAATTTTCGCTAGAATCGGTAAGAAATACGAATTTTTGAAGATTTCTAAAAATTTCGATATTTCAAAGGGCGATTCCGGAAAAACGGTTGCAGTTATCAAAGAAACGAAGCCGGAAATGAATTCTCGAGCTCGAAATCTACAAGAAAACGTATTTAGTTGCGTTTCGAAAATGTCCAAATTTTACCGAAATTTGAAGAAGGGGGGACCATTGAAAAATTTTCACTTAAAAAAAAGTCGTCTAAAAATTCTGAAAAAATTCAGGGATGTAGATCTCGACTTGCTGATTCCAAAAATATAGATTGTTTAGGGTCACGGAGCAACATATTCGCCAGAATCTATAAGAAATGCGAATTTTTGAAGATTTCTAAAAATTTCGATATTTCAACGGGCGATTCCGGAAAAACGGTTGCAGTTATCAAAGAAACGAAGCCGGAAATGAATTCTAGAGCTCGAAATCTCCAAGAAAATGTATTTAGTTGAGTTTCGAAAATGTCAAAATTTTACCGAAATTTGAAGAAGGGGGGACCATTGGAAAATTTTCACTTAAAAAAAATCGTCTAAAAATTCTGAAAAAATTCAAGGATGTAGATCTCGACTTGCTGATTCCAAAAATATAGATTGTTTAGGGTCACGGAGCAAAATCTTGGCTAGAATCGGTAAGAAATGCGAATTTTTGAAGATTTCTAAAAATTTCGATATTTCAACGGGTGATTCCGGAAAAACGGTTGCAGTTATCAAAGAAACAAAGCCGGAAATGAATTCTAGATCTCAAAATCTACAAGAAAATGTATTTAGTTGAGTTTCGAAAATGTAAAAATTTGACCGAAATTTGAAGAAGGGGGGACCATTGGAAAATTTTCACTTAAAAAAAAGTCGTCTAAAAATTCTGAAAAAATTCAGGGATGTAGATCTCGACTTGCTGATTCCAAAAGTATAGAATGTTTAAGGTCACGGAGCAAAATTTTCGCTAGAATTGGTAAGAAATGCGAATTTTTGAAGATTTCTAAAAATTTCGACATTTCAAAGGGCGATTCCGGAAAAAGGGTTGCAGTTATCAAAGAAACGAAGCCGGAAATGAATTCTAGAGCTCGAAATCTACAAGAAAATGTATTTGGTTGAGTTTCGAAAATGTCAAAATTTCACCGAAATTTGAAGAAGAAAATGTTCACTTAAAAAAAAGTCGTCTAAAAATTCTGAAAAAATTCAGGGATGTAGATCTCGACTTGCTGATTCCAAAAATATAGAATGTTTAGGAACACGGAGCAAAATTTTCCCTAGAATCGGTAAGAAATGCGAATTTTTGAAGATTTCTAAAAATTTCGATATTTCAACGGGCGATTCCGGAAAAACGGTTGCATTTATCTAAGAAACAAAGCCGGAAATGAATTTTGGAGCTCGAAATCTACAAGAAAATGTATTTAGTTGAGTTTCGAAAATGAAAAAATTTGACCGAAATTTGAAGAAGGGGGACCATTGGAAAATTTTCATTTAAAAAAAAGTCGTCTAAAAATTCTGAAAAAATTCAGGGATGAAGATCTCGACTTGCTGATTCCAAAAAGATAGAGTGTTTAGGGTCACGGAGCAAAATTTTCGCTAGATTCGGTAAGAAATGCGAATTTTTGAAGATTTCTAAAAATTTCGATATTTCAACGGGCGATTCCCGAAAAACGGTTGCAGTTATCAAAGAAACGAAGCCGGAAATGAATTCTAGAGCTCGAAATCTACAAGAAAATGCATTTAGTTGAGTTTCGAAAATGTCAAAATTTGGCCGAAATTTGAAGAAGGGGGGACCATTGGAAAATTTTCATTTAAAAAAAAGTCTTCTAAAAATTCTGAAAAATTTCAGGGATGAAGATCTCGACTTGCTGATTCCAAAAATATAGAATGTTTAGGGTCACGGAGCAAAATTTTCGCTAGAATCGGTAAGAAATGCGAATTTTTGAAGATTTCTAAAAATTTCGATATTTCAACGGGCGATTCCGGAAAAACGGTTGCATTTATCTAAGAAACAAAGCCGGAAATGAATTTTGGAGCTCGAAATCTACAAGAAAATGTATTTAGTTGAGTTTCGAAAATGTCAAAATTTGACCGAAATTTGAAGAAGGGGGGACCATTGGAAAATTTTCACTTAAAAAAAAGTCGTCTAAAAATTCTGAAAAAATTCACGGGCGTAGATCTCGACTTGCTGATTCCAAAAATATAGAATGTTTAGGGTCACGGAGCATAATTTTCGCTAGAATCGGTAAGGAATGCGAATTTTTGAAGATTTCTAAAAATTTCGATACTTTTAAAGGGCGATTCCGGAAAAACGGTTGCAATTATCAAAGAAACAAAGCCGGAAATGAACTCTAGCGCTCGAAATCTACAAGAAAATGTATTCAGCTGAGTCTCTAAAATGTCAAAATTTGACAGAAATTTGAAGAAGGGAAAATTTTCACTTAAAAAAAAGTCGTCTAAAAATTCTGAAAAAATTCAGGGATGTAGATCTCGACTTGATGATTCCAAAAATATAGAATGTTTAGGGTCACGGAGCAAAATTTTCGCTAGAATCGATAAGAAATACGAATTTTTGAAGATTTCTAAAAATTTCGATATTTCAACGGGCGATTCCGGAAAAACGGTTGCAGTTATCAAAGAAACGAAGCCGGAAATGAATTCTAGAGCTCGAAATCTACAAGAAATTGTATTTAGTTGAGTTTCGAAAATGTCAAAATTTGACCGAAATATGAAGAAGGGGGGACCATTGGAAAATTTTCACTTAAAAAAAAGTCGTCTAAAAATTCTGAAAAAATTCAGGGATGTGGATCTCGACTTGATGATTCCAAAAATATAGAATGTTTAGGGTCACAGAGCAAAATTTTCGCAAGAATCAGTAAGAAATACGAATTTTTGAAGATTTTTAAAAATTTCTATATTTCAAAGGGCGATTCCGGAAAAACGGTTACAGTTATCAAAGAAACGAAGCCGGAAATGAATTCTAGAGCTCGAAATCAACAAGAAAATGTATTTAGTTGGGTTTCGAAAATGTCAAATTTTGACCGAAATTTGAAGAAGGGGGGACCGTTGGAAAATTTTCACTTAAAAAAAAGTCGTCTAAAAATTCTGAAAAAATTCAGGGAATGTAGAATGTTTAGGGTCACGGAGCAAAATTTTCGCTAGAAGCGGTAAGAAATGCGAATTTTTGAAGACTTCTAATAATTTCGATATCTCAAAGGGCGATTCCGGAAAAACGGTTGCAGTTATCAAAGAAACGAAGCCGGAAATGAATTCTAGAGCTCGAAATCAACAAGAAAATGTATTTAGTTGAGTTTCGAAAATGTCAAAATTTGACCGAAATTTGAAGAAGGGGGGACCGTTCGAAAATTTTCACTTAAAAAAAAGTCATCTAAAATTTCTGAAAAAAATCATGGATGTAGATCTCGACTTGCTGATTCCAAAAATATAGAATGTTTAGGGTCACGGAACAAAATTTTCGCTAGAATCGGTAAGAAATGCGAATTTTTGAAGATTTCTAAAAATTTCGATATTTCAACGAGCGATTCCGGAAAAACGGTTGCAGTTATCAAAGAAACGGAGCCGGAAATGAATTCTATAGCGCGAAATGTACAAGAAAATATATTTTGTTGAGTTTCGAAAATGTCAAAATTTGACCGAAATTTGAAGAAGGGGGGACCATTGGAAAATTTTCACTTAAAAAAAAGTCATCTAAAAATTCTGAAAAAAATCATGGATGTAGATCTCGACTTGCTGATTCCAAAAATATAGAATGTTTAGGGTCACGGAGCAAAATTTTCGCTAGAATCGGTAAGAAATGCGAATTTTTGAAGATTTCTAAAAATTTCGATATTTCAACGAGCGATTCCGGAAAAACGGTTGCAGTTATCAAAGAAACGAAGCCGGAAATGAATTCTATAGCTCGAAATGTACAAGAAAATGTATTTTGTTGAGTTTCGAAAATGTCAAAATTTGACCGAAATTTGAAGAAGGGGGGACCATTGGAAAATTTTCACTTAAAAAAAAGTCGTCTAAAAATTCTGAAAAAATTCAGGGATGTAGATCTCGACTTGCTGATTCCAAAAATATAGAATGTTTAGGGTCACGGAGCAAAATTTTCGCTAGAATCGATAAGAAATGCGAATTTTTGAAGATTTCTAAAAATTTCGATATTTCAACGGGCGATTCCGGAAAAACGGTTGCAGTTATCAAAGAAACGAAGCCGGAAATGAATTCTAGAGCTCGAAATCTACAAGAAAATGCATTTAGTTGAGTTTCGAAAATCTCAAAATTTTACCGAAATTTGAAGAAGGGGGGACCATTGGAAAATTTTCACTTAAAAAAAAGTCGTCTAAAAATTCTGAAAAAATTCAGGAATGTAGATCTCGACTTACTGATTCCAAAAATATAGATTGTTAGGGTCACGGAGCAAAATTTTCGCTAGAATCTATAAGAAATGCGAATTTTTGAAGATTTCTAAAAATTTCGATATTTCAACGGGCGATTCCGGAAAAACGGTTGCAGTTATCAAAGAAACGAAGCCGGAAGTGAATTCTAGAGCTCGAAATCTACAAGAAAATGTGTTTAGTTGAGTTTCGAAAATGTCAAAATTTTACCGAAATTTGAAGAAGGGGGGACCATTGGAAAATTTTCACTTAAAAAAAAGTCGTCTAAAAATTCTGAAAAAATTCAGGGATGTAGATCTCGACTTGCTGATTCCAAAAATATAGATTGTTTAGGGTCACGGAGCAAAATTTTCGCTAGAATCGATAAGAAATGCGAATTTTTGAAGATTTCTAAAAATTTCGATATTTCAACGGGCGATTCCGGAAAAACGGTTGCAGTTATCAAAGAAACGAAGCCGGAAATGAATTCTATAGCTCGAAATCTACAAGAAAATGTTTTTAGTTGAGTTTCGAAAATGTCAAAATTTGACCGAAATTTGAAGAAGGGGGGACCATTGGAAAATTTTCACTTAAAAAAAAGTCGTCTAAAAATTCTGAAAAAATTCAGGGATGTAGATCTCGACTTGCTGATTCCAAAAATAGAGAATGTTTAGGGTCACGGAGCAAAATTTTCGCTAGAATCGTTAAGAAATGCGAATTTTTGAAGATTTCTAAAAATTTCGATATTTCAACGGGCGATTCCGGAAAAACGGTTGCAGTTATCAAAGAAACGAAGCCGGAAATGAATTCTAGAGCTCGAAATCTACAAGAAAATGTATTTAGTTGCGTTTCGAAAATGTCAAATTTTGACCGAAATTTGAAGAAGGGGGGACCATTGGAAAAATTTCACTTTAAAAAAAGTCGTCTAAAAATTCTGAAAAAACTCAGGGATGTAGATCTCGTCTTGCTGATTCCAAAAATATAGAATGTTTAAGGTCACGGAGCAAAATTTTCGCTAGAATCGGTAAGAAATGCGAATTTTTGAAGATTTCTAAAAATTTCGATATTTCAACGGGCGATTCCGGAAAAACGGTTGCAGTTATCAAAGAAACGAAGCCGGAAATGAATTCTAGAGCTCGAAATCTACAAGAAAATGTATTTAGTTGAGTTTCGAAAATGTCAAATTTTGACCGAAATTTGAAGAAGGGGGGACCATTGGAAAATTTTCACTTAAAATAAAGTCGTCTAAAAATTCTGAAAAAATTCAGGGATGTAGATCTCGACTTGCTGATTCCAAAAATATAGATTGTTTAGGGTCACGGAGCAAAATTTTCGCAAGAATCTATAAGAAATGCGAATTTTTGAAGATTTCTAAAAATTTCGATATTTCAACAGGCGATTTCGGAAAAACGGTTGCAGTTATCAAAGAAACGAAGCCGGAAATGAGTTCTACAGCTCGAAATCTGCAAGAAAATGTGTTTAGTTAAGTTTCGAAAATGTCAAATTTTGACCGAAATTTGAAGAAGGGGGGACCATTGGAAAATTTTCACTTAAAAAAAATCGTTTAAAAATTCTAAAAAAATTCAGGGATGTAGATCTCGACTTGCTGATTCCAAAAATATTGAATGTTTAGGGTCACGGAGCTAAATTTTCGCTAAAATCGATAAGAAATGCGAATTTTTGAAGATTTCTAAAAATTTCGATGTTTCAACGGGCGATTCCGGAAAAACGATTGCAGTTATCAAAGAAACGAAGCCGGAAATGAATTCTAGAGCTCGAAATCTCCAAGAAAATGTATTTAGTTGAGTTTCGAAAATGTCAAAATCTAACCTAAATTTGAAGAAGGGGGGACCATTGGAAAATTTTCACTTAAAAAAAGTCGTCTAAAAATTCGAAAAAAATTCAGGGATGTAGATCTCGACTTGCTGATTCCAAAAATATAGAATGTTTAGGGTCACGGAGCAAAATTTTCGCTAAAATCGATAAGAAATGCGAATTTTTGAAGATTTCTAAAAATTTCGATATTTCAGCGGGCGATTCTGGAAAAACGGTTGCAGTTATCAAAGAAACGAAGTCGGAAATGAATTCTAGAGCTCGAAATCTACAAGAAAATGTATTTAGTGGAGTTTCGAAAATGTCAAAATTTGACCGAAATTTGAAGAAGGGGGGACCATTGGAAAATTTTCACTTAAAAAAAAGTCGTCTAAAAATTCTGAAAAAATTCAGGGATGTAGATCTCGACTTGCTGATTCCAAAAATATAGAATGTTTAGGGTCACGGAGCAAAATTTTCGCTAGAATCGGTAAGAAATACGAATTTTTGAAGATTTCTAAAAATTTCGATATTTCAACGGGCGATTTCGAAAAAACGGTTGCAGTTATGAAAGAAACGAATTCGGAAATGAGTTCTAGTGCTCGAAATCTACAAGAAAATGTATTTAGTTGAGTTTCGATAATGTCAAAATTTGACCGAAATTTGAAGAAGGGGGGACCATTGGAAAATTTTCACTTAAAAAAAAGTCGTCTTAAAATTCTGAAAAAATTCAGGGATGTAGATCTCGACTTGCTGATTCCAAAAATATAGAATGTTTAGGGTCACGGAGCAAAATTTTCGCTAGAATCGGTAAGAAATGCGAATTTATTTATTTGAAATCTACCGATTTTAGATTTCTATTTTCGAATTAAATGTTTCGCACACTTCAAGATTCTTTTTATTTCCGTCGTCGAATCGCATTTAAATCGTGGAAACTACCAACATCCTAAGCTCGACATTCTTGAGCAATTACATCGCCAAACGTACACTTGCAAAAATCGCCGTTATTCATAATTACTGACTAATAAATGCAGCGATTAAGTTAATATTCAAAGCAGTGAAGTTAATGTTTCAGTCGATCAAACTTCCGTTGCACTCTCCGAAAAAATGCTCTTGTTAACACTGTTCAAACAACAGTTAAAACCGTTCGGTACGTATTCTACAGATGTAGCTAATATCTGACAAAGTATTATAAACATGTGCTTAGTTAAACAGACTTATGACAATGAAAAGGTAAGACACAAATATTTATGGCTCTGAAACAACGACTAGCTTATCTAAGCAACGAACTGCTTTCCTTATTTTTTAATGTTTGTTAATCCCTCTGCACACTAATTAGTGGCTGCAGGTAGCCACAAGTGTTGATTTTCGGATCAAGTTACCACATTTTGGTTCCGCTAACACCGGAATTGGTACTTTTTGAAATCAAAGTAGACAAAAGTATGTAAAAAAATTTAATAAATACGCCAAGTCTAGAATTACAATTTGGTGTCAAAGTGTGTGACCACTGCCACTTCCACCACTTTCCTCTTCTCTCGTTCCCCCCCACTCCCTCTTGGGATAAAAAAACACAGTCCAGCCCCTATTAACACACTCCCAGCGACCACAAAAATGGGAATTTCGCACCTCCGATCCATCCACAGCCCAAAAACCAGATTACTAGCCATAGCCCCCACCCTCCCAGCACACATGGTCAAGCAAATGGCCATAGCCCCCACTCCGGTCGGAAACAACTCCACCACAACCCCTCCTATGGTCATATTTGCCGTCACCATAGCAGCTTGAAAAACCGAAGCCACCACCAGATTCTGCCAAGCCGAACTCAACCAAAAAATCACCATGGCGCTCAACCCCCCCACCGACATGGTGGCGCACGGGATGACCTTGAGGGGGATTCGCGCCGCCAGCCACCCCGAGGCGGCGTTGGCCACCAGGGAGGTCACCCCCATGATGACGGTGCTCTCGATGACGGCGGGCTCGAACGAGGGTTTGCAGGTTTTGGTGTCGTTCAACAGGGCCAACTCCTTCACCGTGACGGTCCTGTTGGGGTGGAGGTGGTGGAAGCGCTCGAAGCGGACGAAGAGCTCGGGGAGCCACCAGCCCAGTCCAAACACTCTGGAAATGTTTGAGGAGTTATTTTTAGTGCGGTTTGTTCTGTCAAGTTTAATCTTTTGGAATTGTTCTAAGGTTCGAAGACGCGTGATTTTGATTTGTTGGGGTATTACGAAGAGTATGTGTTTTGGGTTTATTTGAGTGGAGTTGGAGGAAAATTTTCGCACGGTGTTGGCTCGAGCGGAAAGTCATTGTTTGGATTGGGGATTATTGTTTATCTGGACAGCGTGTGGCTACAGTGTTGAGACGAATATAATTTTTTGTGATTTATGGAGTGTTTGGGGATATTTTTATTTTTGGAACTATTGTGGAGGTTTGTTTAAATATTTGGTTTCTCAAAAAGATCTATTTGGACATGTTGCGAAATAAAATAATTTACAAAGAAAAGCTGAAATTATTCAAAAGTATCTAATCATTATTAATTGCAATAATGGTTAATTTGATTTTTTTTTGGAATCAGACTCATAAACGACAACTAGATACTAATACTAGAGAATAACAGAGAGCTGAATGAAATATGATCCTATATTTTTAAAAATCTGATAATTAACAATCATTTAGTGATTTTCAGTTTACATTAAATGCAACTTTCGCCTATTTTATGTACTCTCTGATAAGGCTCACAATCGCTTAAAACTGGCACTGTCGCTTCTAAGTATTCTCTGATTTTATTACTACAAACTATTAAAATTTAATAAAGACGGTGAATCATTTTTCGCGTTTTATCAGAAGTAGGTCAAGATTTTTTAAATACTTTTGTCGAATTAAAGATTTGGTTCTAATTATCATGGTGTTTACGGAAGATTTAGCATAGTTGTAAAGCATTTATTATTTTTTATAACCTTTAAATCTCCGGATTATTTCACTCGTTATATAATTTTAGTAAGTGTGAAACACTCGGCAATGAACCTGCTAGTGTGGTAAAGATCACATGCTCGATCTTGGAGTGTGACAACCTTTTTTTAACACTTTCAACTATTTACTGTGTTATTAAACACTAATTAATGTAATATTGGTGATATAATTTAAAATTAAACTAGTTTTTTAAATACTTTCAATAGTTTTAAAATTAATGACGTTTTAAAATGGCCTTTAGAGAAAAAGTAGTCAAATTTTATTTTAAAGTAAAGTATTTTTTGACTCAGAAGTGCGACAAAGAGTTGCTATAAAGCTTTAATTTCTATTTAAAATATTTTTGGTAAAAGCTGCTTAGTTCACAAAAAAAGAGCCAAGTACTTAAATATCGAAATTTTGAAAACATAAATGTTGAGGTTTGAACGTGTAAACTACAATAATATAAAATAAATAAATAGATAATCTCCGAACTATCGAACCGATTACTTTCAAATTTTAGGATTGTCTTACTAACTGAAATTTGTTTACTTACCTCCTTGTTTGGAATTTTAAATCTTTAAATTCGAAAAATATAAGAAAATAACATTTTGAGAAAGTAGCCTAAAAATTCCTAGAAAATTCTGGTCGAAAAGCATAACTTATATTAATGATCCCGGGCCAATATTTTCCAAATATTCGATTTTAAAGTCACATTTTTAATTTTTAATTAATTTCCCAAAAACTGTTATGTTTTATTTTGGCTTTGTGGAAAAAAAGTTGGAATTCTCGAAGAAATGAAGCCGAAAAAACATGTTCTTTATATAATTTTTGAAGGTACTCAGAAAAGGATCAAAATTTTCATAGGGAAGAGTATTCAAAAATTGACTTTTTGGGAAAATTGACGAAAAATCTATAAAATTGTGAGAGGTATGTGTACAATTTAACAAGTTGTATCGAAAAACATGGCCTGTTGATAGTCCTGGACCAACATTTTCGGTTTCAAAATCGAATTTTTGAATATTCCAAAAACCCAATTTTTTTTTATTTTTGACATTTTCGGAATTTTCAAAAAAATGAAGCCGAAAACAATTACAGGAGGGTGGAAATCTACAAAAAAAATTATTTTGCTAATTTTCGAAAGTGGTTAAAAAAGGTCTAAAATTTAGTATCACTAGACCAACTCAGTTTTTGGAAAAATTGCCAAAAAGACAATACAAATTTTTGAAATATATATATCATATATCTGGGTGTGCTGATTCCAAAAATATAGCGTGAATGAGTTTCGAAATATTCAGTTCCAAAGTAAAATTTTTTAAATATTCCAAAAATTATCATTCTTTTTCATTTTTATTTTCGATAAAGTTAAGCCGAAAATAATTTCTTGAGGGTGAAAATTTACAAAAAATCTTTCGGTAATTTTCGAAAATGGTTAAGAAAAGTTCTAAAATTTCGTAAGTATACGAAAATAGAATTTTTGGAAAAATTGCCGAAAAGACAAGAAAAAATTGTGAAATAGATCTCGGATTTTTGAAATATTCGGTTCCAAAATGAAATTTTTAAAATACGCCTTCCAAAAATTGACTTTTTTGCACTTTTGGGAAAAAGTTCCAAATTTTGAAAAAATGAAGTTGAAAATAATTTCTGGAAGGTGGAAATATACAAAAAAATTTCTTACTGTAATTTTCGAAAAAAAGTCAAAAATTTCGTTGTGTCAAAAAATTGAGCTTTTGGAAAAGTTGCTAAAAATCAACAAACAATTATGAAATCTAGATCTCGATGTGTTGATTCAAAAATACAGTGTGTTTATAGTCCCCGAGAAAGATTTTTAAATACATACATATTCCAAAAATGAACATTTTTTTTTTATTTTTGGCACTTGGAATTTCCAAAAAAATGAAGCCGAAAAAAATTTGTGGAGGGTGGAAATCTACAAAAAAGAGTTTTTCGTTAATTTTCGAGAGTGGTTAAAAAGGTGTAAAATTTCGTACGTATATAGAAAAATTTCCAAAAGCGGTTGGAATTTTCGAAGAAATGGAACTAAAAATAATTTCGGAAGGGTGAAATTTACAAAAAAAATTTCGTAAGTATAAAAAAATTGAATTTTTGAAAAAATTACCCAAAAGACAAAACATTGTTGAAATAGGTCTCGGTATGGTGATTCCAAAAATATAGTTAGTGTGTTTATAGTCTCGGACGAAGATTTTCGAAATATTCGGTTCCAAAATGAAATTTTTTAAATACACATTCGAAAAATTGACATTTTTTGGCGCTTCTAGATACAAGGTTGGAATTTTCGAAGAAATGAAGTCAAAAATACTTCCTGAAGAGGGTTGAAATTTACAAAAAAAAATCCGTAATTTTCAAAAAAAGAGTCAAAAATTTTGTTAAGTATCAAAAAATTGAGTTTTTGGAAAAGTTGCAAAAAAATTAACAAGAAATTATGTTGATCCAAAAATACAGCGTGTTTACAGTCTCGGAGAAAGATTTTTTTAAATATTCATTTTGAAATAAAAAAATAAATCCTAAAACTTGCCGTATTTCAGTTTCAAAAAAGTAGGAATTTTCAGAAAAATTAAGTCGAAATTAATTTCAGGAGGGTGGAAATCTACAAAAAAATCTCTTTCGGTAATTTTCGAAAGGGGTTAAGAAAGGTTTAAAATTTCGTAAGTATCAAAAAAATTGCGTTTTTGGAAAAGGTACCTAAGAGACAACAACAAAATTTGAAATATAGATCTCGACGTGATGATTCCAAAAATATAGAGTGCTTACAGTCTCGGATGAAAATTTTCGAAATATTGGGTTCCAAAAGGAATTTTTATAATATTCCAAAAATTGTCATTTTTTTTTAATTTTTTCGCTTCCCGAAAATGGTTGGAAGAAATGAAGCCTAAAATAATTTCAGGAGGGTGGAAATCTATAAAAAATTTCTTTAGGTAATTTTCGAAAGTAGTTAAAAAAGGTTTAAAATTTCGTAAGTATCAAAAAAAATTGAATTTTTGGAAAAATTACCTAAAAGGCAACAAAAAAATTTGAAATACAGATGTTGCGATAACTCGAAGGACCAATTGTAATAAATACAATAAAAATACGGTGGCGCTTGAATATGTATATTTGTACGATGTTAACAGTCTCAAGTCCAAATTCTTACTCTCCTATTTTTACAAACTATACCTAATTATAAAGACTTGGCCCCACAAAAGGGTGCCGCACCCTCACATTGGGTGATTAAGAAATTCGCTGCAGTCGGGTGAGAGAGCCGCCGTGCAGGTGGCTCGAACAACAGATCTCGGTGTGGTGATCCCAAAAATATAGCGTGCTTATATAGTCTTGGAGAATTTTCGAAATATTCGGTTCCAAACTCAAATTTTTAAAATATTCCTAAAATTGAGATTCTTTTTATTTTTGGCGATTCTGGAAAAACGGTTGGAATTTTCGAAGAAATGTAACCGACAACAATTTCTGAAAGGTTGAAATCTACAAAAAAAAATTTGCGTTACTTTTCGAAGTTAAAAAGAGTCTAAAATTTCTAAGAAAAATTTTTCTATTTTTTCACAATAGATATTCAAAAAACTGACATTTTTTATTGGTTGCGTTTCTGAAAAAACTGAAACATTGAAAAATTGAGATATCAGAAAATTTAAAACGGAAGACTGAAGACTTGAAAAATCGAAATCAAAAATCGAAAAATTGAAAAATTGGGGCCCCGAAAAATTGAAAAATTTCTAAATTCAAATAACGAAAAATTTAAAAATCGCAGCATCGAAGAGCTGGAAAATCGAAAATCTAAGACGAAAAACCGAAAAATTGAAAAGTTGAAACATCGAGAAACAGCATCAAAAAATCGAGAAATCAAAAAGTTAAAAACTCAAAAAATCGAAAAACAGAAATTGAACTCGATCGAAATCTCGATTAATCGAATAATTTAGAAACCGAAAAATTAAAAATTTTAAAGGACGAAAAATTGAAAAACTGGTAAAATCTAAAATTTAAAAATCCGACAAATTGAAAAAAGAAATATCGAAGAACTGTAAAATCGGTAAATCTGAAATTTTAAAACGTGAAAAATTAAAATATATCGGAAAATTGGAAAACTGAGAAATCAAATGATCAAAAAATAGAAACATTGTAAAATCCAAAATTTAAAAATCGAAAAATTAAAAAATGCAGAAATCGAAACTACTAAAAATTCGAAAAATCCGAAAATTGAAAAATCGCAACATCGAAAAATTATAAAATCGAAATTCTGGAGACGAAAAATCGGGAAAGACAAGATCAAAAGATCGAGAAATCAAAAAGTCGAAAAATCAAAAAATTGAAAAACTAGGAAATTGAACATTCCAAACTTCGAAATCTCGATTTCCTTAAATTTTTCGTTTATTCACTTCTTCGATTTTCCGCTTTTCTTTTTTTTCAATTGTTCGGTTATGCAACTTTTCGAATCAAAAAAATTCTAAAATAATGGAACAGCGAAAAATTGTAAAATGAAAACTTTCAAAAATCCAAAAATCGGAACTCAAAAAAATGGAAAATTGAAGAACCAAAAAATTCTAAAATCGCAAAAATAATCAAAAAATGGGAATGTAAAATCCAAAAACAATCGTTAAGCATCAAAAAATGGGTTTATGGAAAAGTGGTTTAAAAGTCAACAAACATGTTTCAATTAAATCTCGGTGTGCTGTTTCCAAAAATGTAATTTGTTTATAGTCTCGGACGAAGATTTTCGAAGTATTCTGTTCCAAAGCCAAATTTTTACAATATGCCAAAAACTGACATTTTTTGGCGATTTTGGGAAAACGATTGGAATTTTCGAAAAAATGAAGCCGAAAACAATTTTTGAATGGTGTCAATCTACAAAAAAATTTCTTTCGGTAATTTTCCAAGTTAAAATAAAATCTAAAATTTCCAAGTATAAAAAATTGAGCCTTTGGAAAAGTTGCTTAAAAATTAACAAAAAATTCTGAAAGATAGATCTCGGTGTGCGATTCCAAAAATATAGCATATTTATAGTCTCAGACAAAGATTTTCGAAATATTCAGTCCCAAAATCAAATTTTCACAATAGACGTTCAAAAAACTGACATTCTTTTATTTTTTGCGTTTCTGAAATAGAAAAATTCCAAAACTGAAATGACGAAAAATTGAAAAATCGCAGAATCGAAGAGTTGGAAAATCGAAAATCTAAGACGAAAAATTGAAAAATTGAAAAGTTGAAACATCGAAAAACACAACATCAAAAGATCGAAAAATCAAAGTTGAAAAGCCGAAAAATTTAGAAACCGAAAAATGAAAAATTTTAAGGGACGAAAAATTGAAAACTGGTAAAATCTAAAATTTAAAAATTAGACAAATTGAAAAAAGAAATATCGAAGAACTGTAAAATCGAGAAATCTATAAATCTGAAATTTTAAAACGTGAAAAATTAGAATATATTGGAAAATTGAAAAATTAAATCAAATGATCAAAATATAGAAAAATTGTAAAATCCAAAATTTAAAAATGCAGAAATCCAAACTACTAAAAATTTGAAAAATCGGAAAATTGAAAAGTTGAAAAATCGAAGCCAAAAATCGAAAATTTAAAAAATCGAAAAATTGAATAATTGGGGACCCGAAAAATCGAAAAATTGAAAAATCGGGAAACACAAGATAAAAAGATCGAGAAATCAAAAAGTCGAAAAGTCAAAAAATCGAAAAACTGAGAAATTGAACATTCCAAACATCGAAATCTGGATTTCGTTAAATTTTTTGTTTCTTCGGTTCTTCGATTTTCCACTTTTTCGTTTTTTCAATTTTTCGATTACTTACTCAACTTTTCAAATCAAAAAAATCTAAAATTGAAAAATAAAAAATGGAACAGTGAAAAGGTGTAAAATGGAAAATTGAAGAAACAAAAAATAGTAAAATCCAAAAAAGCATCAAAAATGGGTTATTTTTTAAATATAAATCTCGGTGTGCTGTTTCCAAAAATATAACTTGTTTATAGTCTCGGACGAAGATTTTCGAAGTATTCGGTTCCAAATCAAATTTTTTAATTATTCCAAAAATTGTCATTTCTTTGGCGCTTCTGGAAAAACGATTGAAATTTTCGAAAAAATGAAGCCGAAAACAATTTTTGAGAAGTGGAAATCTACAAAAAAGTTTCTTTCGGTAATTTTCGAAGTTAAAAGAAAATCTAAAATTTCAAAGTATAAAAAAAATTGAGCTTTCTCAAAAGTTGCTAAAAATCAACAAAAATTCTGACATAGATCTCAGTGTGCTGATTCCAAATATATAGCATATTGAACATAATTTATTCCCTCGCAACGATAAAATAAACCAATTCTTCACGAAGCGACATTGAAAAAACACAAACTTTACAAAAAAAAGTGCTTATCAAGAAATATTAACCCAGCCTCAATAACCCGTTCATACCTTGTGACCGCGCAAAAACCACTGAATCATCAATAAAGCAGTCGAGCATGTGACCAAACTGGAACTCCAAGCAAATTCCTTCCAGCAAAATCCCATTTTCACTTTAATTACGAAACGATCAAACCATGCAACGAAAAAACAACGTCATACCGTCTCATCGTAAACAAAAACATTAGACAAAGTCTGCCAACTCAAACACGTGAGTCCATTATGAATGATGTAGCCACCAAAACACCATAATCTTTGTTTTGCAAACAGAACTTGCATTTCAACATTTTTTTAATACTTTAATTCAATGTAAAAAAATAGTGGCATAAATCAGTCTAAATCGGAGAAAATATTTTCACAAAAGGGAAACCGAGACAAGCGGGTTTTCAGTGACGTCACGACGAACTTACCCAAACATGTTGGCGAACATGATACTGGTAGACAGGAGGGTGAAAATGAGCAAGGGTGGCTTGAACAAACTCTTGAACTGGTTGTACATTTCTTGCACTTTTCCTTTACATTGTCGACTAAGTGGATTTTCGTTGCGTTGTTTTAATAAAGTCTTGACTGGGAAATCCTCTGGTTGTTGGCCTGTATTTGTGGCAAAGATTTTCCTCAAAACTAAAAGCGCTTTCGTTGAGTCGCCTCTAGCTAGGAAAAATTTCGGGCTTTCGGGTAGCCGCAGGAACCAAAACCCGACTAAGACTTCTGGTACTACCAAGATGAGCATAAATAGTCTCCATGGTGTGACTATGAAAAAACTGCCCATACTGAATGACAGTTCCATGGGTAGAACGATCCACGCTAGAAGGGGTAGCAGAAGCCACGCCCCCGTGAAAAACACCCCTGAGTAGCAAATCACCGAAGAACGACACTTCGCAGGCTGGAATTCTCCGAGGTACGAAAACACGATGCTCCCGGGCCCCCCTATCAAAAACCCGTTAAAAAACCTGCACAGAATCACTCCGACCATCGACCCATTGGTCGCACCCAGCACCGTCACGGAAGCGTTGGCCAGATGGGTGAACACCAGGACGCTCCGTCTCCCCTTAGCGTCCGCCAACACCCCCCACAGGAAGCTGCTCAGCACTCCCCCGACCAGAAAACCCACGTTCAGCAAACTCAGCTCGAAGGACGTGAGTCGTAGCTCGCACTGGGCCGCTGGGAAAATATAAGCGGCTAACCCATTTTGGAAGCCGACGCAGATTATGCAAATTGCACAAGCCGTGAAAGCTTCGTAGTGGAATTTACCGTAACCTGAAATTTTTTGCAAGAAGTGACGCAAAATTCTTAGAAAAAGTCCGTACCTGTTAGAAGGATGGCCTTGTCGAAGTCCACTGGGTCGCACATTTTTCCACTGCCCTCGGTTTTTTGTTTGATGGATTGGTTAATTTTTGCATGATGGGTCGGTTTCATAATCAATTGTTTGTTTAGCGGAGTTTGCAAACATAAGTGGTTTTGGGTGTTAATGGGGTTAGAGGGGCTTGGGAGGGGAGCTGTTGTGTCGGGGGTTGCAAGGCGACTAGGCTCATTTTTCTTGAGAAATTGTGTTTTCTTTGCGGGAGGGATAAATACGGGGTGGATTCTGCCAGTGCTGGAGAATAAACTATTTTTCAATTTTTGTTTCGTCACTGATTGTTTGACTACCCAGATAAATTTCGAAGATGGTCAATGTGTAGTTTCAAGACAATTTTGAGATGACGTCATCAGTTCTTTGTAGGGTATTTAGTAAAAATTATAGTCTTTATCAGTCGATAATGTCAAACAAATTAGTCTCCGTCCTTATGAAAATATATACAAGGTGTTTGATATAATAAAAAATCAGAACCGCAATTGGAAACGTTAAATTACTATAATTTCAGAAGAAATGGATCACGTGGGTCAAGGTTAAGGCTACCAATCGCCAAATAACTTTGACCAATGGGTGAGAAATAATAGATCATCATTAAAGAATGTTGACCTTGACATACAATACTTTATAAAAAAATAAATTTGTTACATAATTAAAAATGGAAAACCACGTAAGTGTAACTGTTCGAATCGACCCATTTTTCAATCGATGTAATTACCCAGCATCTGCAGCAAATTCCATAATCTTTCTCACCATTTTACGACTTTTATGTCCCATCCCACTCTCCGCCCATGCACGTATTTTTCAAAACGCGCCACAGGTTGTTGACTGCTCATAGTTTACAAATATTTACGTACGTGCAGCCACACCCCTCTTTTATTTCTAGAGAGTTTTCCGACTTTTAATCCAATCACATTTGGGAAAACACTGGGACAAAATAAATGAATACGTAATAACAGAGCCAGAATCCGTCCCTGATTAGTGTCCCAGTGTCAAATTAAACAACAATAATAAAAATAATCCATTCAAAATGGTGCGGAGAAAGCCCGATGAAAGCACCGCCGCAGGATTTCCCACCCTCTCGCTTAAAGGGTTGCTTAGGTATCTTCCGGGAAAAATCAAAACCTTGAAAATTAAAATTGAAAATTTGGATACTTCTAAACTTGAAAATTTAGTAAACTATAAAAACGAAAAATTGAAAAATTGAGAAATTGGAGAATCTGACATTTGTAAAATAGAAAAAATTACAAAATTATGAAATAAAAATTAAAAACTTGGAAAAATTCAAATCGAAATCTTAAAATATTCAAAATCAAAAATTATAAAATTTAAACAGTTAACTTGGGACAAATGCAAAATTATCAACTAAAGAAATTTGCAAAATTACAAACTGAAAAAGCTAAAAATTGTGAGACCAAAAAAATTCAATTCTAAAATTCAAATATCAAGCAATTAAAAAATCAAAAATCGAAAAATTGAAAATCCGATAATTGAAAAATTGATGCATTATAAACCGAATAATTGAAAATTGAAAACCTTAAAAAATTATAATTGAAATTTTGTACAATTAAAAATAAACAAATTAAAAAACTGTAAAATTACAAAATTGAAAATTTGGGCACTTCTAAACTCAAAAATGTATTAAACTATTAAAACGAAAAATTGCAAAATCATTTAATTGAAAAATCGAACTGAAAATCGAAAAATTGAGAAATTGGAAAATCTGATCATTGAAAAACTGATTTATTAAAAAGTGAACAATTGAGACGCCGAAAAATTGTAAAAAAATAAAACTTAAAAATCACAAAATTGCAAAATTACAAAACTGATGAATCGTGAAATCTTAAAATTGAAAAATCGAACATTTGTAAAATAGAAACAATTACAAAATTATGGAATAAAAATCAAAAACTTGGAAAATTGCAAATCGAAATCTTAAAATATTAAAAAACAAAAAATTATAAAACTGAAACAATTAAAATGGGTTAATGCAAAATTGTCAGCTAAAAAAATTTAATATCAAGCAGATAAAAAATCAAAAATGGAAAAAAGGAAAAGCCGAAAAATTGGAAAATCTGTTAATTGAGAAATTGATGCATTAAAAACCGAATAATTGAAAAATTCAAAAATTCGAAAAATATAAAAGTGAAAAATCAAAACCTTGAAAAATTAAAATTGAAATTTTGTACAATTAAAAATCGAACAATTAAAAGACTGTAATGTTACAAACTTGAAAATTGGGATACTTCTAAACTCGAAAATTTATTAAACTATACAAACGAAATATTGCAAAATCATTAAATTGAAAAATCGAACAACTGAAGGATTCCAAAACCGAAAATCGAAAAATTGATAAATTAGGAAATTGATAATTGAAAAACTGATTCATTAAAAAGTGGGCAAATGAGAAACCGAAAAATTGCAAAAAAATTAAATTCAAAATCACAAAATTGCAAAATTAGAAAACTGATGAATCGTGTAATCTTAAAATTGAAAAATTGAAAAATCGGACATTTGTAAAATAGAAAAAATTACAAAATCATGAAATAAAAGTCAAAAACTTGGAAAATTGGAAATCGAAATCTTAAAATATTAAAAAACAAAAAATTATAAAACTGAAACAATTAAATTGGGTTAATGCAAAATTGTCAACTAAAAAAATTTGCAAAATTACAAACTGAAAAATCTAAAAATTTTGAAACCGAAAAAATTCAGTTCTAAAATTCAAATATCAAGCAGATAAAAAATCAAAAATGGAAAAAAGGAAAAGCCGAAAAATTGGAAAATCTGTTAATTGAGAAATTGATGCATTAAAAACCGAATAATTGAAAAATTAAAAAATTCGAAAAATATAAAAGTGAAAAATCAAAACCTTGAAAAATTAAAATTGAAATTTTGTACAATTAAAAATCAAACAATTAAAAGACTGTAAAATTACAAACTTGAAAATTTGGATACTTCTAAACTCGAAAATTTATTAAACTGTAAAAGCGAAAAATTGCAAAATCATTAAATTGAAAAATCGAACAACTGAAGGATTCCAAAACCGAAAATCGAAAAATTGATAAATTAGGAAATTGATAATTGAAAAACTGATTCATTAAAAAGTGGGCAAATGAGAAACCGAAAAATTGCAAAAAAATTAAATTCAAAATCACAAAATTGCAAAATTAGAAAACTGAGGAATCGTGTAATCTTAAAATTGAAAAATTGAAAAATCGGACATTTGTAAAATAGAAAAAATTACAAAACTATGAAATAAAAGTCAAAAACTTGGAAAATTGGAAATCGAAATCTTAAAATATTAAAAAACAAAAAATTATAAAACTGAAACAATTAAATTGGGTTAATGCAAAATTGTCAGCTAAAAAAATTTGCAAAATTACAAACTGAAAAATCTAAAAATTTTGAAACCGAAAAAATTCAGTCCTAAAATTCAAATATCAAGCAGATAAAAAATCAAAAATCGAAAAAAGGAAAAGCCGAAAAATTGGAAAATCTGTTAATTGAGAAATTGATGCATTAAAAACCGAATAATTGAAAAATTCAAAAATCCGAAAAATATAAAAGTGAAAAATCAAAACCTTGAAAAATTAAAATTGAAATTTTGTACAATTAAAAATCAAACAATTAAAAGACTGTAAAATTACAAACTTGAAAATTTGGATACTTCTAAACTCGAAAATTTATTAAACTGTAAAAGCGAAAAATTGCAAAATCATTAAATTGAAAAATCGAACAACTGAAGGATTCCAAAACCGAAAATCGAAAAATTGATAAACTAGGAAATTGATAATTGAAAAACTGATTCATTAAAAAGTGGGCAAATGAGAAACCGAAAAATTGCAAAAAAATTAAATTCAAAATCACAAAATTGCAAAATTAGAAAACTGATGAATCGTGTAATCTTAAAATTGAAAAATTGAAAAATCGGATATTTGTAAAATAGAAAAAATTACAAAATTATGAAATAAAAGTCAAAAACTTGGAAAATTGGAAATCGAAATCTTAAAATATTAAAAAACAAAAATTATAAAACTGAAACAATTAAATTGGGTTAATGCAAAATTGTCAACTAAAAAAATTTGCAAAATTACAAACTGAAAAATCTAAAAATTTTGAAACCGAAAAAATTCAGTTCTAAAATTCAAATATCAAGCAGATAAAAAATCAAAAATCGAAAAAAGGAAAAGCCGAAAAATTGGAAAATCTGTTAATTGAGAAATTGATGCATTAAAAACCGAATAATTGAAAAATTCAAAAATACGAAAAATATAAAAGTGAAAAATCAAAACCTTGAAAAATTAAAATTGAAATTTTGTACAATTAAAAATCAAACAATTAAAAGACTGTAAAATTACAAACTTGAAAATTTGGATACTTCTAAACTCGAAAATTTATTAAACTGTAAAAGCGAAAAATCGCAAAATCATTAAATTGAAAAATCGAACAACTGAAGGATTCCAAAACCGAAAATCGAAAAATTGATAAATTAGGAAATTGATAATTGAAAAACTGATTCATTAAAAAGTGGGCAATGAGAAACCGAAAAATTGCAAAAAAATTAAATTCAAAATCACAAAATTGCAAAATTAGAAAACTGATGAATCGTGTAATCTTAAAATTGAAAAATTGAAAAATCGGACATTTGTAAAATAGAAAAAATTACAAAATTATGAAATAAAAGTCAAAAACTTGGAAAATTGGAAATCGAAATCTTAAAATATTAAAAAACAAAACATTATAAAACTGAAACAATTAAATTGGGTAAATGCAAAATTGTCAACTAAAAAAATTTGCAAAATTACAAACTGAAAAATCTAAAAATTTTGGAACCGAAAAAATTCAGTTCTAAAATTCAAATATCAAGCAGATAAAAAATCAAAAATCGAAAAAAGGAAAAGCCGAAAAATTGGAAAATCTGTTATTTGAGAAACTGATGCATTAAAAACCGAATAATTGAAAAATTCAAAAATTCGAAAAATATAAAAGTGAAAAATCAAAACCTTGAAAAATTAAAATTGAAATTTTGTACAATTAAAAATCAAAAAATTAAAAGACTGTAAAATTACAAACTTGAAAATTTGGATACTTCTAAACTCGAAAATTTATTAAACTGTAAAAGCGAAAAATTGCAAAATCATTAAATTGAAAAATCGAACAACTGAGGATTCCAAAATCGAAAATTGAAAAATTGAGAAATTGAAAAATTGATTAATTAAAAAGTGGACAATTGACAAACC